ATCAAAAACAAGTTGATCGTTTTTATTTGCAACTTAATTATCACTACAAATTAAACAACAATTACAACTTAAACTTATTAAAAGTTTTTAAGAGTACATACTCAAAAATCACAAATATCAGAATTACAAACAATTAGGACATTCAAAATTCTATAGTATTAAAAAATAAGGGAACAAAAATAATAAATATCTAGAACTCCCTTTTGGTATAGAATACCAAGCGCCTTGAACGCCAATCCTAAGATTATAAATTTGGTTATCCAAAACTGTATAGATTTTCTAATTGATGGACATCTGGACTTGAAGCGGACCAATCCATAACTGGAAGTCACTCTTTTACTTTATTCAGATCGTTATCGTTCAGAAAGTTATCGTTATCTCGAACACAGATTCCTTTCACTTTGTAGAACCTACAAATGATGAAACCACTCTATTATAACATCTTAAGCACAGATGATTTCTTTCACTTGTAAGGATCTTCCAATAATGAAACCGATCTATAATAACATTACAATGGAAATTACCCCATGTCGTTTTTTGAAATATCTTGGCTTAAATTCGTTCGGAAAATGTACAAACATTTTCCCATCAGAATTTATAACGCATAGAATATACTCTTTGTATATACTCAAATAAGTATACAAGTAGCTGTACATATGTACATATGTCTGTATATAGTAAGTGTATATCAGTCATTGCCTTTGACAGACACCCACCTGGCAACAACTATGATGCAAAATGCAATAAAATCTTGCAACCTATTTAGACGTTGCTGATGCTGTCATTGGTCTGATCGTAAAAATCTCCAAGTTTGTAACACCCACACCTGTTCAGCGTGCTATCAATATAAACAAAACCAAATTGAGGCGAAACGAGGCGAGGCTTAAGCCAAAACTTGAGCCCACGAATACGCACACGCTGTGTCTAGCATCGACAAAGATTGTTGGCCAATATATTCGTATATGCAGATATCACACATGTGCCCTATACGTAATACGCCTTTTTTATACTTATACAGCCAGACGTTCTCGACGGCTAAGCATGAAAATATGCTTTGGCAAGTGAAATGTATAACAAAATGCTGCCTAAATTTAAAACAAATGACAAATACGCGTAGATAGGCGGCATATGGCTGAAACGGACAGATATATGTACGTACATATATTTAGATACTACGAGTATACAACAAAATTATATGGAATCTTGAAACTGATGACGCAAAATGTGACTGCGAATGTGTAGATAAATACTTGTATATTGGTGTATATATACTATATATCTAAGAAAATTCAGTTGGACGCAAGATATGCACAACGGAAGCGACTCGCGAGGTCGTCCGGCCCTGATTGTCGCCACGGCAACAACTTAGGTAGTGCGCCCAGTTTGAAGTCCAAGCAAAAGAAAGCTGAACAAAAATATCCACACATAGGTTCAAATGTTAATGTGTGTGTGTGTGTGTGTGTATTTGCATAAAAAGTTTGATATAAGGCTAGATGAAAAACTAATTAGCTTTTATCGTCAACGGCTTTATTGCTGGCCGATGTTGCAACCAACGAATCGAAGATAAAAAGTGTGATAATTAATGAAAGTGGCGCCGCTAAATGCGAAACGTTTGCCCCAAACCGTCACGTGCATCAAGCTACCATACCAATAATGTGCAGCTTTATAAATAATTTACCTACATATATACAAGTATTTGTAATTATAACTGCAGCCAGCTAGTTATCCAAGAAAGGAGCGTCAAAGCAAAGTAACTCTTGACTCATTCTCGTTGCCAGTTTCACATACAAAAAAGGGCATTCAATGCATATGGCCAACAACTAACCAAGATTTCTTTAGACACATACATATAAGTATGTAGTCTATACATATGTATGTATGTGTGTGGCCATAAAAGGTCTTTCAGTTAAAATATACTTGGCTGGCATGCTTACTGGTTTGTTTGTTGGTTTTATGGCCAGCACTTGACTGACTGGCTGATTCCAAATGCGTGGCGCATGTGCTGGCAATCATTCATAACGGCGTATTGTCAGCGATTAATGGATAGGATATCCTCTGAGTCTTTTTCTCACTTACCTCTAATACTTACAAGTCCGCGCGTGGGAAGAGTTGGCAGAGGCATAAATGGCAGTATTGTTGTAATATCAATTTGAAAGTTCCAAGGAAAAATTCAATTGATAAACAAATGCAATTTTGTTGCTCATATATAATTTGGAGCTCATCCAAATTTAATTTTATTGTTTTTAATAGCAGGAATATTTGTAGATATTAATGCAGGTATCTCTGACTAAAATGCAACCACAAGAGAGCCGGAGCTTTATATTTCGCCTTATTTGACTGCAATTATAGACCAGTAGACACTTAACTGAAATGGAAGTGAGTCCAACCGAACACAGGCAAAACTTTATAGAAAACCTTCATATACATATGCATATGTTCTATGCGTACATATGGAACCCGCCAGTTTATAGTCAAGTTGGGCATAGTAATTATAATGATGGTGCTAGATTTGACAAACATTTTTTAAGAGCACGCATACATATTAGATTACGAAGAGATAAACCCAAATTATTTATGAGCTATGTAAATAGTTTTGAATCGTACTTTCATTTATAATAATTTTATCACCAACCATCTAAGTAGAATTTCTATGGGCTTATCTAATTTTTAAGGCAAATATTCGCCAGTCGCTGTTTTGGCTTGGGTTTTAGACTTGTGCGCAAATTCAATTAGCCAGAAATGCTATCTGGCTAGAATAGATGATGCCATGTGCTTATCTTCCATAACCTTAATGCTGCACTCAAATATTTGTCTAGTTCATTGAAGGAAGTTATAATTTTATGTAAATACAACGGATGTACATGTGTTAGCTTTTATCTTGGCGCATATGTACTAGGGCTGTTGATAAAATATCGAAATATTTAAACATTGATATATTTCTAGCTTTGATATTTTATTTTGGTATTTAGAAATGATCATTTTTGTAAAAAAATATATTAGATGTATAGAATTTTCGTAATAATAATTAAGCAATGTTAATATTAACCATTGTGGGTTTTCTGAAAATTATATACTTAATAAATTAAAATATCCATCAAATCTTTGTTAAATGCTAAGAAATGTCAACATACAAGTATTTTCAATTAAAATGCTAATGCTCAGAATGAATTCAGAACATGTAGAAATATCGATGAATTGAAAAGCAAAAATCTTTTCAGCTTTTTCAGAAAATATTAAAAATTACAATCTTTTATGATTTTTTAGACAATTTTTAGACATCCCTTTCAGGATTACAAATGTGTACATAATAAATAAATTGTAAAATATTTTCAATATTGAAAGTTTTTAAAATATCATCAACGCGAATGCGAACAGTAGGCCCGTCATGTGTGTGCCCCAAAAAAATTGTGCTTGTGTGGTCCCTCCTCTCGCTCTCTCTCTCTCTCCTCTCGCTCTCCATCCGCTTTGGGTCAGTTGCAGCGTGGGCGTGCATGGCGCTAAAAACTGTTACAAGGTTGTGTCAGCGTTAGCTGCAGAGCGGACTGCCGCCATACCGACAAAACACTCAATTTTTATCTCACTTTTATCTCAGCCATCTGTCGGTGTCTCTGCATCTCGTCTCCTCTCAGTGCCATTGTGCCTATGTAGTATGTATTTCCCAGAATTTGGTGTCAACACGTTTTTGGAATTTGTAATGGCAGCCCATTAACAGCGCCAGAGATAAGTGCCACAATTTGACCCGAAGCGGTCAGCGGTAGTGTTCTGGCCAGTTTAGTTGAAACGAGCTAAGCATTCATCTGCATTTTGAAGCGAATTGATGCTGTTGACAGCTACATTTTGGCCCGCCATAAGCACAGTTTTTTAGTAATATTAACATACATACATATTTGTAGACAGTTTAGCTGACAGATATGCATATGTATGTATATAGATAAGCCGCCATAGCTTGCATGTGCCGACAGATTTAGCGGCTCAGTCTTTTTGCAAGTGAAAATTGCTTTAAAAAAGCTTTTGCTTTTATTTTTGTTGTACCACAAACAGTGGCCAGATACTTATAATTTATTTATAAATGCGTCGCTTGTTGCCCATTTGGCCTGCTCTATGAATTCAAATTGATTTATTGCCACAATTGTGTTCTATGTAGAGCAAAGTGGTCATACGAAAAACAGAAAAAAAGAAAAGAGCTATTCATGCGCATTACTCGGCTATTTTACGGCAGCTCCAAAAGCTCCGAAGCCGGCCAACGCATTCACAAACAACGTTCAACCCACGCGAGTTGCGACTTGAGGCATTTGTATGGCACATAATTGAAGTTTATGAATGGGCATGTGAACAATTTTGAGTTGTTGCGTTGAAATCTCATTCTAAATGCTGCAGCAACAGCTACGACCTTGGCCAGCCCACGGTCAAAATGCATAGACGGCACCAAGCGCCCACTTATGTGCCACTTATAAGAAATGCCAAACTACGCGATTTATATATGTATGTATCTATGAATGTACTTATGTATGTTTGTATATTTGTCCGTATCTATAAACTACAACAGTAGCTGTGTAGTAGCAACAAAACGACTGCAATTGTAAACACAACTGCCAAATTCTGAGCACTATTTATGGGTATTCAAAGGACCGGTCACACACACAGGCATCAAAATAAAGGGCTGGTTCACAGTCTACTATGCTTTCAAATAAAAATTCTAAATATTGATTGCAAATATGTATACTAAATAATATCACACTTCTGAAGCGTTCGAAGTACTTTGATTTATGATTCTCGATTCGTTAGAGCACTTCTATCACAAACAAGTAATGGAAGATCAGAAAGATAGTGGGATTTGCTTTAATGTAGACCTATATTATATTGTATTATACGATCGATACTACAAGTATAATAACTATCAGTTTTAGTAATCACATAAGCCGTGATCAAAGTACTATTTTTGACCTTTCTAGAAAATTTGCACTATTTATTAATTAACACTCCAATCCTATTCATTACAGATTTTACAAAACTTAGGAAAAGTTGATCGCACCGCAGACGAAATTTTCGATGATCATTTGAATAACTTTAATCGCCAACAAGCAAGTGCCAACAGACTACAAAAGGAGTTCAACAACTACATAAGATGCATACGCGGTAAGTGAGAAGGACATTATCCTATTTATATGCAAATGTGAGTAAATAATGATCTCCATAGCCGCACAAACCGCTTCCAAGTCGTTGATGGACGCTGTTTGCGAAATTTACGAACCACAATGGAGTGGCTACGAAGCGTTGCAAGCACAAACTGCTGCCTCAGAGAGCCTGTGGCTTGACTTTGCACATAAACTGGGTGATCAGGTCTTGATACCTCTGAACACATATACCGGACAGTTTCCTGAAATGAAGGTAAGCAATTCATATGCGTTCAATTGGATATGGAAATTTATTCATTTATTTATACGAATTTAGAAAAAAGTGGAGAAACGCAATCGCAAATTAATCGACTACGATGGCCAACGACACTCTTTCCAAAATCTACAAGGCAATGCTAACAAGCGCAAGGATGATGTCAAGGTACGTATTGCAGTTGCATAATTTAAAAATGGATTAGAGAACTTAATCGTTTTTTTGTACCTTCAGCTAACCAAAGGCCGTGAACAATTGGAGGAGGCGCGACGCACCTACGAGATTTTGAATACGGAACTCCACGATGAGCTACCTGCTTTATACGATTCAAGGATATTATTTTTGGTGACCAATTTGCAAACGCTGTTCGCCACAGAACAAGTTTTTCACAGCGAAACATCCAAGGTAGGCATGAAAAATGCCAACAGGTTGCATCGTTTAGTAAAATAGGTTGTACTAATTATCATTACAAACATATTCTGAGCACTTTCCAATTGCTTGAATGACTTAACTAATATACATAGATGAGCAACCGCCATCAGTTAGATATGATTTCATAAGGAAAAGTAAATCAATATTTTGAGCTACTTATTGTGATGAATACTCTCAATTTCATGATGACGGGGTATGCGAAATATGTATTTTCACAATTTCTAAATTGCCACAAACTATTTTTCAGTGAATGGAACTTCATTCGAACTGTTGTTTTCGAATCAATATAGTATGTTCATCTGTCTGTCTGTTTGAAAACTAGTCATCCCGCTTTAAAGCAATCGCGCACATAGATTTCTTATTCCTGCAAGCAAATAATTTGTCAAAACCATCCAATTGAACGATCTGGTTTCTTTCTTATTTGGGGTACATTGATTTACGAGTACATCCCTAGTATGTCTTCAATAAATCAAAAATGCAAACAAATTTGATTTTCCTTTAACAGATCTACGCAGAGCTTGAAGCAATCGTCGATAAATTGGCCACAGAATCCCAGCGCGGCTCCAATACACTACGAAAACAAACAAGTAAGCCCTTGCCAATAACATATAGGATACATCCATTCTTTAAATAATTGCTTTTCTTTTGCTGTCAATGTTACAGCAAATGCCATCAAAACAGCGAGTCCAGTGCAGTCCCCAGTTAAGCAATTGAATCAATTGAATAATGCAAACAACAGCAACTATCAAAATCAAATAACCACAAACGGTGGTTCCAGTCTGGCAAATAGCCGTAAGTATGGTTCGAAATAAAAATTGGACACTTTCCCCAAGTAACTCTTCGACAGAACTATGTATAACTATATTTGCTTTTTGTTCTGTTTTCAAATTAATTGAATTAATTATTGTTAAAATTTTTTACATTATTTTGTTTTTGTTCTCTCTTATTTCTATCCTTTTTTTGCTTTACATTGACTGATCAAATTTATCAAAACAAAATATAAATTGCTCAAAACTGTAAAAAAAACTGCATTGCATATTGCAAAAAAGTATAAATATAAATGTTTGATTCTGTACCATATACAAAAGAACTCTATATTATACACAACATATGAAATATTTATAATTAATGCTACGACATACTATATACATATACCTACATTTTATGCACTCTATTTTACAAACATACAAACATATCTAATTGCAAATTGCAAGCAATCCTTGAATGCATTTTTTTTAGGGTTTTGGCAATTTATAAGAAATGTAAAACTAATTTGTTAACTTCTTCTGGTTGAAACTTGAATAGCATTAAGCAGAAACATGTGTGTAGAAGCATTCCATTTGTACAGTAAACTTATGGCCCCGATACCGATATAGAAAGTATATAGTAGATATCTATTGTTTGTTACCACTCCTTGTAAATACTGGTACATGTGTATGCGACTTGGGCTTGGCGTAGTTAGATTTGTCTAAGCGAACTTAAATGGTTGTGATTGAGCAATTAACACAAGAGTAAGTATTAAGTTATTCTCACCATAACTTCTATGGCAATGCCGTCAACTACATCTAAGTTATGAACTTAAAATTGTAAGACATCGAATCTGAATGCTACGCTAATGAACCCATGCAGTGAAGGCGCCATTGAAAGGGACAAATGGAATGTTGTTGCATGTTGCTGCTTTTTGTTTGTCGAGAGTTTCCACCAATTTCAATTAAGTTGTTTCAAAATTGATCAAATTTTAATTAATCAGACCCTTAACCTGCATGTGTTGAGTTATATTTTACTTTTTTCTCTTTTTTACCATAATAATTTAATGTTTGTTGGAATGATGCTAACTAAAAAAAAATGAACCAACAATATACCATACACTTATATCATCGACATACATATAAAATGAAACCCAAACCATAAATATAAAAAATAAAAATCTAAAAAACAAATGAAAAAAAAATGAAAAACAATTTAGCAACCTCTACAAGTTCGTCAATGCAAGAGCCACGATTTGATTCAGTTTCTTCAACACCAGAACCAACGCCAGAGCATTCAAAATTAGCACAAAACTCGGATCCTGTCATAACGGAAACAGAGACCACGACAACGACAATTTATCCAAGTCTGGGAAACGGCAATGCAGCCGCTGAAACAACAACGATCACCAAAGTCATGAAGACAGTGGAGAACGCTGATCTGAGTAGTCCAAATGCCAATACAACAACGTCAACAACAGCCACCGTAACAAAAACCGAAGAGATCACGGGAACAACAGAGGCGGCTGCAGAAGCTGGCGGAGATGCAAAACCTATAACGGCAGCGGTGAAAGAAACAACTGAAGCGGCAACAATAACAGCAACAACAGCGACGGCGACAGCGACAGCGCCACGTCAACTAAATGGTAACAACAATGAACCAGTAACCTCATCATCGAAAGAACCAGGCAAGCAACCCAAAGAGTTGCCCGCTGGAGCATCTGAGGCACAACAGGCCAACAATGGCAATGGCAATGGCAACAGCCTTGAGGAGCACAAACAAAAGAAATTAGGTAATGATACAACAACAACAACTACAGCTACTAGGAACTCAGTTACAGCAACAAATACAAATAGCAGTAGCCAGTTAGTTATAGATCATACTGATCATAAAGTTAATAAGAATCCCTTCGAAGACGATGACGATCGTATCTACGAAGATCCCAATGGTGAGTAAGCAAGCGTTAGATAACCCACGGCGAGTCGTCTATCTGCATCCTATACTGTGTCGTTAGTCTGTTGGCTTTATCTACCAAAAAAGCATCTTATCGTATGTCTAATTGAATTGGCTAAGGGTCTTTTCGGGGCAGCAGACAGCGACCAAATCTTTATACTAAGTATGTCGCTCTGCCTTTGATATACATATTATAAAAAAAAACAATTGTGTTGTAAAAACTGATTAGTAGGCATGTCTAAAGATATTGGCGTCAATTTTTGTAACTGCCAAAAATGTAAAAATTAGTCTATATGGTCTGTTAAGATATCTCATGAAGTTTAAAAATCATTCATCTCTTAGAATCGTGCTTATCTTATTAATGAGATTTTTGCATTTATCGATATACTTACATATATGTAATACATATAAAGCTCATTCTAGCGCTACTAAAAACGGTTTTGAATTCTATCTCTCATATTATATTTTTAGATTGTCTTGTATGGTTTTTGATATCTTACATTTTGGTTGCAGGTGGTCCAAAACAGAATTCTAATCGTAACATTAAGTTGTGCACTATTTTTTCTTATCACACAGCTCTCATCTGGATTCATTTTGTCACACGCGCTTGCACGTTCACAGCTTATATATTTTGTTCTCCATGTGGTGTTATTCCTAAATTTTAATACTTAAGCCATACAAAATAAACAAAACTAAAGAAACGGCCTGAAATTTTGTTTATGAAGACTAACCTGTTAAAATTCGTTAAAAGCCTTTATTGACCAACTTTTGTTATGATGCGCGTTCGTCTACTAAAATTGTTAAAATTTAAGGATTTTGTAGCTATCACGTTAAGCTTAAGCTATATGTGTTCTAATAAACATATGTATACTATGTAACTTCATGTAATTCAACAATTCACAAACTGTGGCGCCTTTTGTTTTCGCAGATGCCAACACCGCTGATTTGCCTCCCGGTGTTCTCTATCGTGTTAAGGCCACCTACGGATATGTCAAGGAGGACGTTGACGAACTGAGCTTTGAAATTGGCGACATAATTCGTGTCATTGAGTATGATGATCCTGAGGATCAGGTAATTTATTTAATCACATGGCAGGCTAATGCTTACATCTGTGTAAATTTGAAGTCATCCTGTGTAACAGTTTTGCACGCGCTAGCTTATCCCCATTCCCTGGTCTAAATAAGCGCCTAAAGCACTTCTTATCTGTATTGAATAGTTTTTCATTGCCAATTTGCAGGAGGAAGGCTGGCTAATGGGTCAAAAGGAAGGCACAAACGAAAAGGGTCTCTTCCCCGCCAACTTTACGCGTCCCATTTAGACGGCAACGGCAGTTGCATTGTGAGCAGAAAACCGGCAGCTCTTATTTTGTTAAAATATTTTAAATATACACTTACATACATAATATATCTTTAAAATTGTAAACCAACGGGAAATTTCGGCCAATTTTTAAAGCGTTTCGTCGCAGCCAAGCCAAAAAAGATCATGAAAAATTGTGTTTGTGAACATATTTTTGTTTCGATTATTTGATTTGTAATTCAATAAACGATCACGTGTCTGTTAAAGCAGTGCTTCCAACACTTCTACTTATTATTGTTGAAAACTACACATATATTTCGAAAACGTTTTAAATTCGTTTTTAGTTTTTAAGCAAAGCAAAATCTAAAAGCATAAACAAACATACATACATGCATACTATATTACCTGTTAAAACATTGTGCTCATAGTTAAATCATAAAAATTATCTAATTTGTAATTAAAGAACAATCTTGAATAATTCTTGTATGTATATGTATGTATTTTGGAAATTGTACGAGTTTTTATAGTCAACCATGTGTGTTTTGAGGAAAAATCGCCACATGAAATTTACTTTCGGGCATTTTGGGCATATCAAAAACAAACTAATTGTATTTTATTCAATTATATTAATTTTACTTGTAGCTTTATTTTATGAAAACATAAAAACACAAACAAACCAGAAATGTTTAATGCTCGAAAAAATAAATAATACCCAACTAGCGCCAGATTTACAATAAAACGCATGCCAACAGTCAGTAACAGATTTAAATGCACTTTAACTTTATTAAATTCTGAATATATCATGTAAAACCCATATTTTTGATTGATTATACATACAGAACGAAAAAAGAAGAAGAAGTAATGCTATATCGCAGAACACTATAAAAACAATTATAATTTAAACTATATTTGTTTTAAATATTGTAAAATTTTATTATTATTTTAACTTTATTTAATTAATGTTAACCCTTATTTATCGCATGAACATACTGAACAAATGATAATAATTTACAGAAAACAAATAAATCGTAGATTAAACAAAACCGATATGTTGTTTCTCTTTGTCAAAAGCATATTCGATGTAAACACATCATCGATCAATTATTTTCTTAAGACTTTTACTAAAGCTTACATTTTTTTAGTGCAAACAGATTTGTGCTTGACTACTAGTGTTGCCTATAACGTTAAAAACCTGACAGCACAAGGTTGTCTGGCATCGCTTTTTTAATGACAGTTAAAATATTGCATATTTTATTTGAAACATCGATTTCGAAGGCTTTATCGCTACAGTTGAATATACCTTTATTAATCAGAAGGTCTCAATATTTTATATGTGGTTATTGGTAAAAAAAAATACTATTGTCATTTCAATAAATTTGACAACAATATCGATTATTATTGTATTCGATTGTAAAACCTGTCGATTATATTACCAATTGTAATAAGTACTTATCGTAAACATCGAATTCTTGAACTATCGATACATCGGCACATTTTTTCGTGCAGCGTCTCAGCGTCTTTTAAAGTTAATTCGACCACGAAAAAGTGTAAATAACTAAGAATATATAAGCTGATAAAACGAAAAGAGTTACTACGGATCGTGCGTCGAAGTTACCGCAAAATGCAAAATCAAATATGTTGTGAGTTTCGCATGAAAATCCGCACCGACAATCAAAATCCAGCCCCAGCCAGAAGCCATTTCTAGTCGGACATGAATTGCTATTGAATTGAGTGTGTGTGCTTGTGCTTTGAAGGTGCAAATTACGTGTGCTTATGCGTGCGCGAAACCTTAAAGTGTATATATTTATGATCAGCATTCAAAGACGGGTCAATATAGACATATTTCCGAATAGATCCACCAACATTTTTTGTGGCAAAAAACCAATTTTTTCGGCCTCGCCCGTCGTTGTCGTCGCTCTTGTGTGTATTCGTTTCGTCGGTAAAGCAGTACGCCGAACACAGAAGTGCAAGCGAAACAGCTATAGCGGTGACAACACGGTCGCACTGCTTGCCAGAACAAACACCGTGTTTTGGCATATTTAAGATAATTTTGCGGGTGGCAAAAAAAATGCAGTAATATGTAATTGTTAAAAAAAAGAAAACAAATCACCATTTTTAATTGTATACAAACGCCACACACTTGGGTGAATTCTGTGATGGTTTCAACCAATAGTTTCAAATAAAGAACCCACAGTACGATTTCCACAATCGCTGGCCCACTGACTGACTAATTTTCTGGCTGGGGGTGGGGTTGGGTTGAAGAGTCGAGTTGGAAACGCAGTGTTTACTTTTCAAGTCGAAATTAATTTTCTATTCTTTTTGCAGTTCCAATGCATACAGAAAAATAAATAAATACAAAAAGTATAAAGAATGCAGAAAATTAAATACAAGAGGAGCGATTAAGTGTTGCGTGTGAAAAATAAATTTATCTTTGTCATACCTAGTTATATTACAATTAAAATTAATAAAATGCATACTTGTTGAAACTAGCATTTATAAACTGGTTTTAAAGAAAACAAACATACACAGTGAGAACATAAAACACCCGAAGCATAGAAAAGCGTAACAAATTTAAGTAATTTAAAAATCTGTTTTGAAAAAAAAAAACATCAATAAATTTTTAACGCAATTAGATCTTTGTGTAACGCACCAGTAAACAAAAATTTAACCAACACGTTCCTTAAAACAATGTTTTCCAACTGCAACTTAATCAACATCAACCGACAAAAAGATATGCTTTCAACTTAAAACCGCGTTGTTATCTTTTAAAATATTTTAATTGATTAAAAACATACACGTCTAATTGAAATCGTATCGTAAAAAGTAAGCACACCGTGGAACCGCAGACGCTGTAGCTAAAGAAGCATCACCTCATATGCATAACCATATAGCAATACATGTATCCAAAACGACACCGATTCAACTTAACTGCAGGGAAACAACACGAAAACAAAATAACATTTTTATTATTTAGTGCTAGGAAATAACGGGTATTAATATTGAAACAACAATACACACACATTTAATAAAAGGGGCACATCGCATATTTCGCAAATCTCGTCATCTCGTCGTTGCCTATTACAACAAAGTAGTCGACGTCAGACCAACCAGTGGTTTAACCTGTAAGTACAAACAATTAAGCTCGAATTATGCTCTGTAGAGGTATATCATAATGACATAAACATACATATGTATGTAGAGATAAGCCGAATTAATCCTCCACTTTGAAGGTGCCCCCAACATCTCCCTATTACTAATTTACCTTCTCTTTTAATGTTTAAATCACATATGAGTATAGAATGGATACCTAGTCATAAAAATATAGATCTGAAATAATCACTTTAAAAAACTGATAAATTATAATATTGATTAAAAACTTGCGAATACGTCGTTTTCTCGATCGCTGTTTGCCGCACTCTATTAGTTACTGATTATGGTTCCCTTTAATGGTACATATATTCATCATTCATAAGTATGAAAAGACACATCATAAATATATGTATTTAATCAACAAGTAATACAGCAGCCAACCATCAACTTCATATACATTATAATACATATATAGTTGTCAGAGCACCGACTGATCACACATAGTATGATAACTTTTTATACCCGGTACCCGAGGAGTAAAATGGGTATGTTAGGCTTATGCAAAGTATGTAACTGACAGTAGAAAACATCTATCGGTGAGTCCTAGGATAATTTATTAGTGTGACAAGACGCCCCAAACTGAAGCTTCGCTTGTCATTCCATTTTAGATCTGCTATGGCAATGCATATAGCACAGTGGCGATATTATGATTATGTCTCTTGTTTGTTTATGAAGATATCGTAAGGCAAGTCAGTACTTACTAGTTTTGTATGTACCATGATTAAAGAACTGTGTCATAGGGAGAGGCAGCGGGTATAGAGTTTACAAAAAAGTTGGACTTGCACGATCTTACCTTGCTACACGTCCTATCTTAAGAATAAATATGAGAAATACTGTCGTATTTGAAATTAATTAGAATAGGAACTGCTACCTAGCATTATAGCAGTAGTTTTTATAGTTTTCAACAGATGCCATGGAACATAACGGATGTCAAGCAATGAAGTCGGCCAAGCTTTACAGTTTTGGAGGCCATTTTGTTTTTGTGTTGGTTTCTTTTTTTTTTTTGTTTCCATTTATCATTCATTAAGAACTTATCATATTCAAGCAAGTGGCTAGGCAGGCAGTAAAGTGAATGCCCGTATAAGTAAATCTAGCAATTTTGAACATATGTAGGTATTTGTTTAAGTCACTTATTTTTAATGCGCTAGTCACCAGAAATTGGAATTTATCTTAAATCGCTTATCTATACACCGTTGCGTTACCGTTGTTGACACTTAGTAGCGTAGCCCAAGAATCGGTGACAAAGCGTTGTCGGTTCGCATATATGTGTGTATATAAATATATACTATATGTATTTCAACTCCACAAAACCTATTCTAGAATGCCAGGCAACCGCCAACGGTTGAGGTATATCTGTGTGCTACGTACTACTCATGCCGCTTGGCCTGTGTGTTTATTATGATTTATACAATATATAAACAAACCGCAACAGCATAGCTTAACTAAGCGAGCGAGCAGCTTGGCTGCAAGAAACCGCACGCAGAATTTTGAGAGACTGGCATTTTATTTGAATATTTGTATATAAGCTACTAAAAACTGCCAAAATATGAGAAGGACATGTTATAGGAAAAGGTCGATTTTATGTGCTAGAACTACCCACTGCTTACATAAGTATGTACATACATATATGTAAATATGTATGTAAAGCAGAATAAATGCAACAGTTTGTTTTCAGGTTGTTCTCGATGCTGGCAACGTTTTGGGGATGCGATGTGGCTAAAAGTTATAGCATTTAACCATTTTAAGCTGACAGCGAGGAACGAAAAATCACACTCCATTGTTAAAACATTTGTTTTGCGCCAATTGCATGCGCTCTGATAATGCCAGCTGGGCCCCGAAGTGACCTGGTCTTGCCCTAGTCACTGACTACTGCTAATTAGATTTCGTTGCTTCGCTCAAATAAAAGCGTTTCTTTGTTGAGCTGTGACAACGCCAACTAATCTGGGCATGTCTGCTTCCGCTGTGTGTTGACTTGTCGTGAGAGGTGCGAATGGGGGTGGGTGTTGGGGGATAAGAAAATGCTCGACCCGTGCCAAATGACATCCAATTGTCATGATTATTGTCAGTACATATGTACTACATAGTGTGAAATGTAAAACCAAATCGGAAATGTCATTGTTTAGCTGGATCTGTATGGATATATGGCTATGTGTTTACATTAGCCTGCATATATTATAACATTTGCGTACGCATACATCTACTTGTACAACTCTCAATCTATATAGCAGTGGTCTGTTGCTATCCATCGATGTACCCATATTCTATTTCTACAGTTGGCAACTTTACCATTTGCTATGTCGGTTCTATGTATACGCGTTCAATTGGATTAGCAAACACTCGATATTAGTCGCTGTCGGCGAACCCGGCACACATACATATGTATACATATACACACACATACATAGACAAAATAGTCCAAGGCGGACTAGAGTGAACCAGAAAATGGTTCTTTAGATTGGTATAAACAGGACATTAGAAATAAGTCTGACGCCATCTAAAGATGATCTAAAACATTCATTAAAATGCATGGAGTAGAAATAAATAATGGGCTGATTGGTGGAGTTTTCAATATTATTTTAACATTCATACACTTCCCTCCCCGTAATTTGAACAATGAACTTGAAAATGATTTTGCTACACAAATTAAGTGTTAATTCTACATTATTCTATATATACATACACCTATACTGTTGCCTTGCATCTTGTATTTATTAAGAAGAAGTAAAAGTAAAATCGGAACTGACTTTATAAAGCTCAAAATTTTAATCATTTAAATCAATAAGTTCCTTTCGACGCTCTTTTAATTTTACAATGTTTTCAACAGCCTAAGGCACCACAACAAACACAAGAAACTACTTATTCTACTGAATTCATTTATAAATAGAAAAGAGAATTGTTATTCTCATACAAGTTGTACGAAAGTAAAGATACTTTTTTTCATGACATAAAGAAGTATAATCTAATTTGAATATTTTAGTAAGACAATAAAACATACTAACAAATTGAATAAAATCAAAAACGCTCTAAACAATAAATTTACGATTAATTTAAATGCCGACTTAAACAACATTCATATAATTTCCAATTAAGGATTAAGCAAACTGCATTGTTTGAAGCTAAGTATAAATTAAAAGGAAATCAAACCTCATTAGAAATAGAGGGCGGAATAATTCTTGATAAAAACCAATTTGTGGCCAGAATTTGATTCACATATGTATATTGTTTGTATGTATATGACAAAGAAAGAGTGAGATAGTGTGATAGTTTGGGGCGCACACTAGACCGGCCTGTGAAGCCATACATTTTCCAAAATCAGCTTTCTTGCATTAACCTTAACCATGAAGCGCATTCGTAGCAGTGTCGCAACGTCGGCTCTGTACAGTGTTCCCTGAATCTGTTGCCACCTTTCAACAGATGGTCATGGCTGCCCTTTGAGCTGTTCTGTTCCGCATATCGGGGGGTGGACTGTTGCCGCCGATTGCTGCAATGCGATCGACTCTTCGAAAAGCTCGTATGCCGAAGCTTGTCGCCACTAACATGCCCGTGATAAATCGCAGTTGCTGCGCTGTCGCTGCAGGCAGGTGTACATATGTATATATACATATATATGTATGTATGGAGGTACATGCGCATACTGAGGCCAGCCCATTGGCCACGGCCACGGCCAGCAAGTACTTTTGCCAACAAGTAGGGAAATAGACAGGTGGCAGAGGGTTAAAGGGGCAGGGACAGACAGGCAGACGTCTTCCAGGCAAATATGAAATGCTAATTTCTGATACTGGACATAACGTTGCGGGCTTTCGTGGAGCAAACAACTTTGGTCGGTGCCTCTCACATTTAAATCAATTATATTTTACCTATAAATGAGTGCAAAAGTTTAAACTAAAGTAAATATTTGATTTGTTCAAATGTTGTTTAAAATGATTGATATATACAAAAAAATAGCAACGCAACAATTATTTAAGTTGATTTATGCAAAAAGCGTGCTTTGTTATCCTTCATACTCTGGCATCCACTGTGTTTATTTATTTAGTGTAAAACTAGTTGGCCGGTGAAGTTGCGCGCGTCCGTTTTTGTATACCCTCTCTCTCTCTCTCTCTCTCTCCACCACAATGAACTAACATAATTTTTTTTCCAAACGTTCTTATATGGATGGATTTTAATGAAACAAATAATTATAGTGAGCAAACATGTTAAAAAAAAGACTTTTTTAAAGACCCAATTTTCTGTAGACATATATTCATAAACAAAAAGTGTTTTCTTTTACAAATTATTTTCACCAACTATTTATATGGAATAGATCTTATCGAAACTTTAGATTATAATCACAATAAGGAATACCAAATTTGCTTCCGGTGTCTTTATAAAAAGTTATTCATGTAAGACAGATATTTGCACCGTACGGTTCTACGTAATAAATTTGGTCTGAATATGGAGAAGACAGGCTTACACAACAAGGATGCGAATCCCTAGCTGTTATGGTCATATGGATATCTTTAAATTGATTCTTCTTCTGCCTGTTACATCGGATAAACTGTATTAAATAAGAAGCATGCACAAGTTGCACAAATTGCATGTCTATTAGGATAAAATAATATGTGTGTTTTCGTTTATTAAAAATACATATCTAAATGTAACATTTACGGTTTTCTTTGCAGATGTTCATGGAATTTTGAAAGTAAATGGGTTACCACAAGAAGAGCAGTAAACACATGTCGACGTCTATGTTTTATCAGTGTTAAAGTCTTAATTGAAAAGCCTTTAAATGCACCGAATTCTGGTCAACAATATAGATATTTAGATTAAAGCAGAAGGAGCGAAGTTACACGTAATTTCCAAAAGATTTTGCATTGCCGTTAACCCTGGAGCAGGAGCAGAAACTGTGGAGTAGAGTAGACATATTGAAATATATTTAAAACAAATATAAAAAAAACGCCTTTGAAGGAAAGAAAGCAATAGCCAAAGAGAGCCTGAGTGTCGTAGGAAACAGCGAGCAACGCCAAAGTACAAATGCTCACGAGCAACTACAATCGAGAATAGAAGATAAAGAAAGGAGAAAACAAAAAAGCAAAAGGATAAATCATTTACACAAATGATGCAAAGCCCAAGGGATTACAACTAAAGCAGAACAACAGAAAACGAAGTTATATAGTCATCAGCATATTTAGGTCTGCCCATTTGTGGAAAATAAACTGCATGATTCAGCACGGAGAACAGCAACCAAACAGCCAACACCCAACCACAAGCCTCTGATCTGAACTAGCCACAAAGATCAATATTGCTCCTATTAGTTAATCGAGCAAAACCAGAAGCCGACAACCATCTAACGAGACGGAGTCTAGAGTAGGAGCAGGAGGTGGAGGAGCAGCAGTGGTAGCAGCAACAACAGAACGCGTAAGCGTCCCCACATCTAGTTAGCATGGAGTGCTGTTTATCAGAAGAGGCCAAGGAACAAAAGCGCATCAATCAGGAAATCGAGAAGCAGCTGCGCCGAGACAAGCGAGATGCGCGTCGCGAACTTAAGCTTCTTTTACTGGGTAAGTATTTATAAACTCCAGCTCACCAACAACATATTCGAATATATATAACTTTAAAGCAATGCTAAACTCCATATCACTTTCCCTACTTAAATTGAAGCCTTGGCCATGATATTGTTCCATTAATGTAATACAAGTTCATTAGTAGCGGTAACAAAGCCGCCACCGTCTTCCGCAACTGACATTGACATTGACGCATGAAGGGGTTTGTCTGTCGCACTCTCTATGTCTCTGTGTCACACACACACACACACACGTGTATTCCGCATGCCACATGCATTACCATGACAACAACAGCAGCAGCAGCAGCGGCGCATCCATCGGAGCCAGAGTCAAAGCCAGTCAGTCAGCTATCCATGAAGTCGGTAGTTTGGTCGGATGCATGTAGCAATTAATAAGCCTAATTTTATTACCAGCTTGCTGACTGCATATTACGTTCGTTATCTTTCCACTTATACGAACCAAATGCAATTATCATCCTGCAGGAGTAAACAATGGCAGCCCACGCCACATTTCTGCTAATTAGCACAGTGTAGCTGCCGTTACATTCCAGGCAAGCAAGAAAGTTAGCAGAGCAACAATAATAATAAACATACAGAAATGCTAGATGTGAAACCAACTTGTGCCACATAAGGTTGCACCACCCTAAAAATAATTGAAGCCCTATGACTGCAACGTGTTGCTCGTTCGGGAGGCCCCAATGCGCCCCGAAATGGAAAGTTCTATTGTCTGAGTTATGTCTACGACATTGGTAATCTGATTTTTCATTTCCAAACATGGTGCCTCCTGTTTATTTCCAGGAAATTTTTAGATAATGCAAATCGTACCCATTAAAATGTAATGCTTTGAGTTGCCGTGTCTCATTAACAATATACAATCAAATGCCACATACACTTATGTATATGCATATATAGGATTTAATTGCAATTTTAAACAGAAACTTGCTTAATGCTGGGATGAAGTTTATTTCAAATTGTTAATTCAACGAATTTGTACAGCCTGTGTGGTAATTATCCCACATAATTATGTAGGTGTAAGAGTGAAATGTACATACATACAAGTATGTATATCCTTTATATGCAAGCCTTTTGATTACTGGTGTGTGGTAAAATTTGAATACAAAGTTGTCACTTCATTGGTCGACTTCTAGACTGTTCTTTAACAATCCACCTAATAGAAGGCCTAGTCAGCTCTTTTTCAAGATACATGCATTTTCTGTGTGCATCAACTCTGGGTTTCGGTAATTACTAATGATGATAACTTTCCCAATTAATTTCCATTGAAGGCACCTGTGAAAACTTAAACGTAACCCTTTAAAAATATATGTTACATCAGCGACTTTTAGACCTTGTCGCCTTTGATTCTGTCCCGTATTGATTAAGTTACCTAAACTACCTACATATGTGAAATATTATACTTAATATTATTTATAAATCTGTATTTGCAGGCACTGGCGAGTCCGGAAAATCAACATTTATCAAACAGATGCGCATTATCCACGGCAGCGGATACTCAGACGATGATAAGCGTGGATACATCAAATTGGTGTTTCAAAACATTTTCATGGCCATGCAATCAATGATCAAGGCCATGGATATGCTAAAAATATCGTATGGAGTGGGAGAACATAGCGTAAGTTTGATTTTAATTAACATATTGAATACATTAATTAATAATTTGGATTTTTGCAATATCAGGAGCTTGCTGATCTGGTCATGAGCATTGATTATGAAACAGTTACAACATTTGAGGATCCATATTTGAACGCCATCAAAACCTTGTGGGCCGATGCAGGAATCCAGGAATGCTACGATCGCCGAAGGGAATATCAACTAACAGATTCAGCTAAATAGTGAGTTGATCGTTGCGAAAAGTGGCTGTGAGACCGCAACATAATGGTGTATTGACACAAGACATTTATTGTATACGTACACGTACATTAAAAAAAACAAATTTCCCCACTTACGTAACTAAATTTCACTTTGTATCCTACGTAGTTATCTGATGGATCTCGACCGCGTGGCTGAAAAAAATTATCTACCCACTGAACAAGACATTTTAAGAGTTCGTGTGCCGACAACGGGGATTATTGAGTATCCCTTTGACTTAGAAGAAATCCGATTTAGGTAGTTTAAACAAAAATCAAGTTCAATGCATGCCTTTCTCTATTAACCTCATTAATACCTAAGTTCTTTTGTGTGTTGTTTCATAAGTTTTGGATAACATTTTATACAAATGATTGGTGGTGGTAACGTAAAAACCAAATAAATGGGACAAAAATATTAGTGTTAGGACCTTTTAACGGACTGATAATTAACACTCTTCTGTTGCCAAGCCAAGCTAAGCCGCTGATAATTCAGTTAACTTAAGTCTTATATTTTAACAAATCATTTTTAACATTTAACGTATGTAGCTATCTAAGCGATTTAGAGCGCATTGAGCAGGCAGACTATCTGCCTACCGAACAGGATATTTTACGTGCTCGTGTGCCAACTACTGGCATTCTTGAGTATCCATTTGACTTGGATGGCATTGTGTTTAGGTATCTATTTAAATTATACAATTGGTTCTTCTAGCTGTGCTCTGCTGCTATTGCTATGAAAAATACAGTTGGTATAAGGAGCTAAAATAGTGCTATCAGTATTTTAATTTGTATATTTAAGTGCTTGATACATTAGGAAATGTTAACGTAAATTTGCTAGGGATGACTATAAATATATATTTTTGTTGTACTTACTTGTAGTTTATGTTCTGTGTGCTTTTAATTTAAAAATGCTGTTGCTTGACTAACAAATTGCTTTCGCATTTATATATACGAGTAATTAAGCATTGTATTAATTCCCTTTTTTTAAATTACAAAATAATAAACAGAATGGTCGACGTGGGTGGTCAGCGTTCGGAAAGAAGAAAGTGGATTCATTGCTTTGAGAATGTGACATCAATTATATTTTTGGTAGCGCTTTCGGAATATGATCAAATCTTATTCGAATCTGATAACGAGGTGAGTTTATATTTGTTTATATGATATCAAAGTTAGCATCAGTTAATTGTTTTGTTTTTCAGAATCGTATGGAGGAATCAAAAGCTTTATTTAGAACTATTATTACCTACCCTTGGTTCCAAAATTCTTCAGTTATTCTTTTCCTGAACAAGAAGGATTTGTTAGAGGAGAAAATTATGTATTCGCATTTGGTAGACTATTTTCCTGAATACGATGGTAAGCATTTTATCTGAACACTAACACTAACAACATGCACAACTCTACTGATATCAATCCAATAAATTACCTGAATGAATTAAACTATAAAACTAAAACCTGACGCAGGTCCAAAATGCGATCATGCCGCGGCCAAGCAATTTGTTTTGAAAAAGTATTTGGCCTGCAATCCAGATCCCGAACGTCAATGTTATTCACATTTTACCACGGCCACAGGTTGATCCCGAAAATATTTATATATTTATTAAATAAATTCTGCTTTGCAAGTGCTAGAAATAAAAGGAAAATCAATATCATCATCATCATCCATACACTTATGCTAATTGTGTAGTTTTGCGCTAGCTTTAACATTACAAACTATTTGGCTTACATTACGACAGGTCCACAGCGAGATGCAATAGCAGCCCGTGAATTCATACTGCGCATGTTTGTAGATTTAAATCCAGATTCGGAAAAAATTATCTATTCTCATTTCACCTGTGCTACAGGTAAGTACTCCCCAGTGTGTGGATGGGTGTGTATGTGTGTGTGTGTCTGGATGAGTCGATTTTCGAGGGTTTGGGAATACCTACATATTCGCAAAAATAAAAGGTAAACTGTAGTTAACGCTTTCGCCGTATTGCCCGCCCAAAGTACGAGTATAACGCGCTAGTTGCTCAGCATAAGTTTTTTAAAAATTGTATACCACAATCATGATTTCTTTTCATTTATTTCCAACAACTGCCGCTACCGCCTCGGTTCGCGAAAACAGATACCGAAAACATCAAACTTGTGTTCTGCGCTGTCAAAGATACAATTATGCAAAATGCACTTAAGGAATTCAATTTGGGTTAAGCATTGCGGCAATTGGGGAATAATGCCACCCACCAGCGACTATTACGTATGATCTAAATGACTTTGAAAACTGTGTGCTTATTATAATAGTAATACTAATAATATATAGTTGTAATCGAATTTAATTGATTCCACAGCGAAACAAATTGAGCAAACATCGAAACCACTGGCTTTTAAAATGTATTAAAATGCACGTGTTATAATAAAAAACATTATATTTATTTATGTTGTTTCGCAACGAAAACATGAACTAGTTTTTGTATATCTTGTTTTTTCCTCTTTAATAATATTTTTATTTATTACTTTTACCGGGCAAACAAGGTTCTTTAGCAGTGTATTGTTATGAGACGAATGGGTAAATTGAAGGAACGAATGTGCTGTGTAAACAGAATTCTAAATTACAATTCTTTTCTAAATTGAAAACTTTATTTTGTCTCTTCCCGCAGATACTGAAAATATAAGGTTTGTGTTTGCAGCTGTTAAGGATACTATTCTCCAATCAAACCTTAAGGAATACAATTTGGTCTGAACTGGATTTGGATCAAACAACTATTTTTGTGATTTTTATTATATATATACAAATATATATGTATATTCATAATTCCTCTTTCGCATACAAATTAAAAGGATGTTGCCGAAGAAAAAGCAAAAAGCAGTAAAACCGAACATTTTCTTGAATTGTAACATTGTAACATCAGGACAAGAACAGAAATTGTAGCATAATAATACTGATACTGATGATACTGATATGTACATTTTGATTTGGGTGGAACAGAGCCGATAGTAGCTAATAATAATATAATAATAATACAACAACAACCATCTGAGACGATAACTAATAATAACATTTAACTTCAATACTATAGAACATTTGTAATAAAATGCAAAAGCAAGAACATTTTTTATTAAATTTAATCAGGCGTCGAAAAAAATCAACCAAATGGAAACAATTTTTTCGACTGACGTATAAAATTTTACTGCATCAACCAATGATTAGATTGAAATAAACAAGAAAACCAACAACTTTTTCATAACAATTACAACAACAACTAAATAAATGTAATACATACATATATGTTAGACACTCTCATAACAATTTGAACACATACGAGTACGAGTACATAACAAAAATGTATAAACAAACAAAAAATGCTGTAAACAAATCCGTGCAGACCAGCAGCAAAATATTGTATTTTTTATTAAGATAATACCGTAAATATTGCAAATATTGTTTACATATATACAAACATACACGCATAAACATATATAATAAATAATTTGTACCATTCAGTGTAAATTACAAATCATACTAATCCAAGAGAAATGCGAAAGGCAGAAACTAAATCACAGATGACTATGTAGGTAATCAAATAAATGAAATCCACGAGAGAACGTTGGCATTATAATATCGGTGTGCAGTCCATAAACACATTTAGGAGCTGTACAATTATGGAGGGCTGCTTTACAGCAGAACCACAACAAGAAAATCAGCAAGAACCACTACAGCTATTGATATCTAATCAGATTAAAGCAAATACAGCATCTAAAGCTATATGAAAACAAAAGGGAAAACAATTTAAAATGAAATTCTAATGTCTAGCCAAAGCAGGCAGCCATTCTCTTTTTATATATATACATATATATATATAACTTCAAACAACAGCTAAATTGCAATTAAATGCGAGTAACTCCTAAATACAATAATAATTAACAAATCGAGTTGTTATCAATTAAAAGAAAGTAGCCAAGATTTCATACATTTAAATATAATTTCGTTAAGTCTGTTTGATTTTTGATAGGTACATACAATATATTGTTTTGTTTTTCGTTTTAATTTAATTTAATGTGTATCATATATATTAAATAAATAATATACATAATATTAAACGAATTAATAACAAAGATGCGCACATTATAAGAAGAACAAAAACTATTTATGTTAAAATAAACATGAAACCAAATGTTTTTCAGAATTTTATACTTTTTTTTTTAGCTTAGAACAACATTATTGCATCACTGTATTATTTATTTTCATTGCTTGAAGCAAACAAAGCCACAAAGACAGTTGGGGACGTTTTCTTATGGATACACAAATGGTACGAATTAGTTGACAATAGTATAGTCTGACATTATCTTCTCTTCTATTATTATTTAAATTAATACTCTTTGTTTCGACAACGATCTCGTCAGCCATAATAGGGGAGGTTGTTTTTTTTTAAACATTTACAAATTAAATTCCCTTGATCGTTGCCGTCGCTAATAGTTTTGACATCCAGTCAAGGAAACAAATGTGACAGTTGTTCTAAGGCAAGTTTTCGTTCGATTAGACTTAGGAATGGAGAGTGTCTTTATTGATTTTGAGTAGACCCCATTGATTTGTCCATTCTATTTTATAGTTTTCAGCAAATGTAAGAAGTGAGGAAACCACAGCACAACACATTCTCAAGCTAACAACACTTGCCTGTTCCAACAAAAAAAATCGATATACTTCTAAGTGATTAAACCTTCTTTACGGCACCTCACTTATATCTACTATATATATACGAAACAGTTGACACGAAGCATTAAAGCCCAACTTCCATTAACAACTGTGTAACTCCACCATAACACCGTGCATGAACGCGTCTTATTGTTAGTTTTTAAGTAAAATTCAACAGTGTGTTGTATAAAGCTTTAATCCATGGACAGAGGTATAGTAAATGAGATGAGGAATGATTCAAGAATTTTTATGATTGATGGATATAAATGAATTGATTGATTAGCTTTTAAAAAGCTTAAATAAGTCAAAAAATACTATATATATAAATATGTACAATATAATATACAAGAAATATATATAAAACAAACTCACACTCATGCATATGTACTCGTATATGCAATTGCAAGAAGAATAAGATATTAAAATGCAAATTTCAAGTAGGCATGTAAGTGTGTATTTGAAAATGAACAACAATTCTTTATACTGTTGTCCCAATCCGAGCAAAGACACAAACATTTTAGGTTTTTCGTGAAACTCAAACAGCGCCAACTGATAAAAATTGTCAAAGCGAAGAGGGGGGCTGGGAGGGACTATAGGCCGCTTTACAATCAAAAAACAAAAACAAACAAAAAACAACAACTTATATACATAAATCCAATGTGGCATTGTTGGGGATACACACAGTTGCGCGCTGGACATTTTGTATATGTATATGCATTATTATATATAGTTTTCCGTCCAAAGAATTGCATCAGCGAGCAGTTAAAAGAGCCATAAGATTTTCATTTGACTGTTTTCTTTTCATTTTTCCTACATTCAACAGCAATGCACGAGAATTTTTGAGTTTATTGCAAATGCAAAAACGCACCAATTTGAAAAAACCAAAAACAAAAGAAAAGAAACAAAAATAAGCCATTTGTAAGCAAATGCTAATGACTACATTTATACATACATATATAGCAGATCGCAGGCCGTCAACTGTTGGATATAGGCGATATGCGATTTGGATCATAAAAAAGGAAAACAAAATAACAAGACCGACTAAATTCCTATACCTACATAGCGTTTATTATACGCGAATATACACAAATACTCTACATGTATGTACGCATATTTAAATGGGTTATATAGTTATTGTTACAAATACTTACATACATATGTATAGGCCGACTTACAAAAATAACAAATTTTCATTTCTTATATGCAATACGAGTACCATATTTAGTTCGATTGCAACAATATTTGGCGGTTTCATGATCAATTTACTAATTAGGTTCCCACATACTATATTTGGTAGATCAGATCACACATATAGCACACATTTCCATAACATTCAGCTCTGTACTCTCACCGTTTCACTGAAAGTAAACAAATTTGCAAATTTATTTATTTTCATTTGGAGTTTTGTGCCTTTCTAGTGCTCATCAAATTCAGCAAACCCCTAGTAAAGTTCATATGTATATTAAAAGAAACAATACATACTATATACATACATATGCATGTACTCGTATACTCTCAACAAAATAATTAAGAAGCTACATTTTCCTTTTTTGTAAAATCTATACCTATTTGTATCATATCTGGAAATCACTAGCCTCTATCTGGCATGGCGAATCTACTATTCATTAGTTAGATTTATGATCATTGTGTCCGTCCTGTTGATCCGAAGATTATGTTGAATATGCTCTAAAGCATGTAAGCGGAGATATCTATTGGTTTATTGTCAACACACGCCTTTCTTTCGTGGATATAGTCATTTAAAGCCCCTTTTTGTTGAGTAACCGAGTCCCAGTTCCAAGATGTAGACTTTCAGCATACAATAGTTATTTTCTGCAGCCAGTTTGAGATTGAAAATACACACTAGATTAGATGTTATTAAATGCATATTATTACTAATTGTTTAGAAGCATAAATGTTAATTGGCTTTAGTTGTTTGGTTTCTCAGCTTACTACCTACCCTCTATGCAATTTGTGTGTAAATATTAGTACATATTGAATTACTTATTACGATTTGAAAAAAAAAAAACAGAAATAAGAAAAAAAGAAAATATAAAAAATTGTACATGAAAAAGTCGATAGCAGATGATTGAAGTGAATATTGTTACACACATTAATGTAATATTTAATGTATGTATTTTGTATTTTTATATACAATTTATAATTTTGGTATGTTGAAACTAAAAACGACTAGTTATACATTTATATAAATACCAAAATCCGAGAAGTAAACGATTGCTAAAGGAATTTTCAAAGCACACAAATTTTGAAATATGATTTTCTGCGAACAGAGAACGGAAATAAGTATTTTGAACTGCAAGCTAAAGATAAATAATTTCAATGGACATGTGTAAGTAATTTAGTTTGAAGGGCGTATGAGCGTGTCAGAATATTGAATATTAACTACCAAGGTGGAGAAGAAATCAATTTGAATGTTTTATGTAACTTGAGCATGTCAAACATTGAAATCAAATCAAGTTAAGTCAGATCAAATAGGATGTAAGAGCGATTAAATGTGGAGAGTTCGGTGGGTCTAATTGAATAAGAAATAAAACTATATATTAAATAAAATTCATACTTAATAGACAGACAGATAGTTTGGGAAGCTGACGATTGAATATAAACAAATAAAAACTCTCTCTCCCTCTTAAAGATAAATATTTAAATATAAGTTATTGTAAAACAAGAATAACATGAATAGGTACTATTATATGATATTCAAAAACTTTAGGATACTTTATAAACTTTAATATGAAAACAATTGCAGAAAAGTTAGCTATGACTTTGGTGTGGCATAATGTTGAATGTGAACTATTTGTAACGTGTGTATTTCTATATAAACAGCAACAACAACAAAAGCAAAAAATCGGACAAAAAAAGAACATCACATTAAATGCATGCTTAACCTATGATTAAGGCAAACGCACTTATGTACACACACATGCATATATATACTATATATATATATATATACATATATATTTGGGCCAGCCGAGAATGCGTGTAACATTTTCAACTTGTTGCATTTGAATTAATTGACTTTTTTACGGAAAATTTACATTACAAATTGTGGTGTTACACCCATTAGTGCTGGCGCCCCGCATGTGTTTGCGAGTCTAGATTCTTGTCATTGAAATATATTCAAAAAACAACCAGACAGAAAGTGAAAATGTATGAAGTGGCGCAACCACAATGATAAAGGTAACTAAGAAATTTTTTAGATAATTCCAAAAAAGATGAAAAAATATCTATGTACACCTAAAAAATAAAAAAAGATAATATATTAAAAACCACATTGCTTATATTTCTCTCTTTTATCTTATGATTAATTGCGGTTTAATTGGCTTATGAAACATTTAAACAGTTTCGAATTCAAACCAAATCGAATTGTATTTTCCAATATATACATCAGTCAAATCGACATCGATAAATTTCAACGAAACCAGGCCCTATTGTCTCCCAGTCCATAAAATGAGTTCACACATACATGAAAATTACAAAAAGAATTTATTTCAAAACTTAATTATATATTTTAAAGTCCGTCGACCGTTTTCTTCGCTTACAGACTTGGGGGGCGATTTTATGATATTACAAATCGGCCGCAGGGACTTAAGCTCGTTTTTGCAGCGCCGAGTTAAATCACATGCCTATTAGTTAGAGTTTATATTCAGTTCTAGACATTGATTGAAATCCATTTACTAAGAGCTAACTAAGCCTTGTAAAATCGAGCCCTTCGGTACTTTACTAAAAATTCACTATCACAAAATCATCTTTTTTTTTTGGGCCAGGTTTACATTTTGAATACAACTTTGGCTGACTTTTTCACAATACAAACAAAACATCAACTAAACATCACATGAAGCATTTAGCACATTAGCTCCTCTACTTTAGACTTTAAATACGCATCAACTGATCAACTTAATCCTAAGAATCTGTCGTAAACTTAAAAAGCGGGTCTTTCTCTACATGACCACAAAATCGCTGAGGTTTCGTTCAGGCTGTACCATGCTTGGTGGCATTAATTGCACCAATTTATTGAATAGAAAAGCACGCCGATTTTTCATTTCATAGCTGCTATCGCGACGAGCGCGTTTAACACTCGACGACGCCGAGGTGTTCGATGCTGCCTCCGAAATTCCGGATGTTGCTGTGCTATCATTTGACTCAATAGACAGATTTTCGGCAGGACTCACGGCCACAATGTCTACAATAAATGTTATCATTAGTTTAGCATTTCGAGTCAAACCTATAGCAAACCTTTCGGAATATCTGCATCGCCAGCACCAGATGCACTTTCAGCTTTCTCTTCAGTATCAGCACACAAGGCGGGTGTGGCTAAAGGACTTTGATCCATTGCACAATCGTGATTTTTAAAAAGAAGCGAAGCCAATTTATGGAACTATGTAAAATAAGGTATTACAAATGGTATTAACATTAAGATAGTGCTCACATTGTGCAACTGCTCGGCGTCGTTGTGATCTATAACATCAGCTATTTGATGTCTTAGGTATTGCATGGCAACCAGAGGCTCACTACGTGTCATTTCTTCATAGCGCAACTTACGCACTAAATACCGACAATGGTTTAGTATCTCATCGCGTTTCGGTCTAGAAGCACAATTAAATTATATAAAACTATTACTGAGACTTTTTCAAGATATTCACTTTTCCAAACAGAGCAGCCAAAAGTCATCTAAACGCAATTGCAGCATTTGGCATATTCCTGGGTTGCCACCGAAGAGATAGTGTGTCTGAAATGTAAATACATATGTAGATGAACAAAAAAAAAAAAAAGAATGAAGTAAAGTTGATCATACCTTAGCCATCTCGTCATAAACAAGCTGGTGCGCATAGCGGGGACACGGTTCGGCAACACCAGAGTTCTTATTGGTGCCCAAAACGGTGGCTATGTTAATCGATGTACCCTCATGAGCAGTGTGACAAGAGTAATAGATGCGCGACCATTTGTGATTACGCAGGGAGTACACCCAGAATGAATTCGATGTCTTAGAGGTTTCCACTTTTTGCATTTCTCGGCGGTCCTTTAACTTGCTTAGACTCTGTCACAATTCAAGAGTATATACACGTACATACAATTTTAATATTTTATCGGCTTGGTATTGCTTACGGAAAATATATAAATTTCATCACGATCACAATCAATGGTGGCGCGCAGTGTGAAGCCCGGTAATGGTTCAAATTTTGCCTCTGCACTGGTCGCAGTGCCCTGATGCTGATGTTCTTTATTAAGAACTGAAATGGCCTGCGTGTCCACATCATAGCTCAGAAATTCATCGAGATCCTCCTTTCCGCGTTGACCGCCGTAAATATATAATTTTCGTTGTTTCTGTGAAGCATAAAAACTTATTCCGATAAATTCAACAGATCCACTTCAATTCACTCACATTATGAAACACCATGCAATGGGTTATGCGGGATTTAATCGACATGACATCAGCTTGCGCAGCACTCGGATGATGACAGTCCACAAGTATTTGTGTCCAAGTATTTGTCGCTATGTGATATGAAAATAGACCGGAATACTCTGGCTCAATGGAGCCAGTGGCATTAACACTGCGAGGCGTTAGTATTTTGCCACCAAACACGTAGATTGTACGCTTGTCGGTGTCTATGCACATCTGGTGGTCGTAAACGAGCTGTGGCCCACCCACTTGACTGGTGTCGTCACAAATTTGCATCCAATTGCGCGTGCGCGTATCGTATAAATAGAAATCACTCTTGATATAGTCGGAAGTGCGTATCGAATTATCCAAATAACGACCCAGCATAAAAATGTTTTCACTGATTGGATCAAATACCATTTTATGGCAGGATCGTGGAGTTGGACCGTTCGAAAGTTCAGATCGTTCACAAAGCAGGGCCCACTCGTCCAACTCGATTTTAAACACCCATAAATCACTGAGGTCTTGGTAGCCATCCCAGCCACCGTACAAGTATATGAGACGCTTCTTGGTATCGACCACCAGTTGATGACCACCACGATTGCCTATAACGGATGCAAAACAATGCGATTATCAGAAGAGTTCGAGGTCATTATTGGATGCTTATCAATGACTGAGTTCGCTGCACCTATCAGAGCTTTAACAAAAATATGTACCTACCAGGCTTTATTTCACTTTCGGTTTGCTTTATGTGCCAGGCATGCTTGTAGTCCTGCTTAAGCAAGTACTCGTCCATTAGCCCCTCATCAATGCACTCGGCAATAAAACATTCTGCCTTTTCAAAATCACCTTGCACTACCAGGTATTTGTGCAGTTCGCTTATAAGCGGATGCTCTAGACGGACGTTTGTCTGCTCCTGCAGCGCTTCAAACGCCTTCACATAGCCCTGTTGCCGAAAGTGCTTCAGGCAGAGCTTTATAATCTCAATTTCGCGTAGTGTATTATAGTTCTTCATCCGCGCACATGTGTACATCGGATCGTCCTGGCCATGCAATTCGATGTACCAAATACTAAAGTTGAACGATGGTCCCCACGACAGCAATGGCACAATTTTAAGATAAAGTATTGGTAGATTTTCGGAGCCATCCTCAGTCATGCAACGCAGATTGAACACTTCCGGTATATTGTCGTTCTTAAGCCCCCTGCAAATTGAGATGAAAGTCATACCGGTACTGCCTGTAGATGGCACAGATTTTCTTAGATCTTACCCTTCCAGGAGCAAGACCATGTGCTCATCGTCCAAGCCGCCAAAGACGCGAAACTTTTTGATGTTGCAAACGTGCGATTTTTCAAATTTACCAAATTTTATTTTCTTAACTATGGCGGGTCTTTTAAGCTTTAGTGTGAGGTACTGCGGTGGGCTGTTTGTGTAGGCGGACCAGCGTGATGTTTGATCATTGGGACAGTCAACAAGTACGTTTCTGAAAATTTGCAATGGAAATTAAACGGTAATGTACCGTATTGTTCGCAACAATTATGAAATTCAAATACATATGTATGTGTGTGTAAAAAAAAACTTACTCGGGCAAATAGTTTGGCGAATAACTGGAGTAACGGTAAACTTCAAAGGTAAGGCGCTCATTTTCAGATAACGTAAACGTTTTTTGGCTATCGTTTTGTTGTTTGTGTGCGGGCGCGGTCGTTGCTGCAGCAATTGAAACGGCAACCGAACTGTTAGAGCTATCCGTTGGGCTGCTGGAAGTCGGAGAGGATGACATTTTTACTTAATTATAGATACAACTGCGGGTATCTTCACTGGGTTACAATATTTATTGGAACAGTCTCAGTTTCGAGATTCAGAGTATTTCCTCCACTCTTCTTAATTTGCTTCTGCCCCGTTTACAGCACCAGCAGCTGCTGCTTGCTGTTCCCATTTCGCGGTGATTTCGGCCGTTTTATCATACTCACACTTTGGTCACACTAAAATATTTCCCCAGTAGAGTTAGGAAATCCAGTTCAAATAAACATAATTTATTTATAGTTCGTTTTATCGTTTCTTTAGTATAATGGACTTTTTTTTTTGATTTGGTAGACCCTTATTTAATATGAACATTTTTATTTAGTGATTACAAATATTAGTGTTTTAGCGATTACCAAATAAATATATGCTGCACAACAAAATTAAATTGAAATAAAAGAAATTCGTTTACATGTATTTATTAAAAAAAGCAAAGAAAAGACATTGTGACTATACGTAAAAGTATTAGCATGTATGTACATATATGGATTTGGCTTGTTTTGCTGTTGACTCCACATACTCTTATTTTAAAATATTATTCAATTTCGCAAATATTGTCTGCCAAGGCAATTTGTTCAAAGGTGGAAATAACATACTACAGGAACCACAGAAACTGTTCCCAAAGACTTAGTTCAGTTGTTCCTTTTAAAGAACCAGTCATTGGATTTAGTTCAGACCGCACCGACTCAGCTTCATTCCGAGCTGTTTCTGTTTGTTTCCTGCCTTTTTATACATTAAGATGTCTTTTGACACAATACCAAAGGATTTGAGAGGTCTGCGTGCCTGCCTGGTGTGCTCACTTGTTAAGGTAACAAAAAACATTGCCTAAATTAGGTTGATGTTCCTACATACATTTAAATATTTCTTACAGAGCTTCGATCAATTTGAGACGGACGGTTGTGAAAACTGTGAAGAATTTTTACGCATGAAAAATAACAAAGATAATGTTTACGATCATACAAGCAACAATTTCGATGGCATTATCGCATTAACAACCCCCACAGACTCCTGGGTGGCGAAATGGCAGCGGTTAGGTAAGGTTTTCGATACAAAACTTGGACCCCTTTAGTATACACATTTTTTTCGTACAGCACGCTTCACGCGGGGCATTTATGCCATCTCCGTCTCGGGTACACTGCCACAGTCAACTATACGGGACATGAAAAACAGAGGAATTGCGTACAAGACTCGCGACAGAAGTCAGCGCTAAAGAGCCCCTTGAGTGTATAAAATATGTGAAATTTATTTCAAGTAATGAAACCACGAATACATACAATACTAATAAAAATACAGTTTAAGTTCAACAAAATGTCATTTTCCCGTTGCCGTATCAATCCTCAAGAGTCGACACACGTAATCCTGCTCCGCCAGCTGTGGTAGCGTGCACACCAAAACCAGCCGCCTCCAATTCCTCCTTCAGCTTCCAGTAAACTTCGTTTTGTTCGTAGTTTTCCGGCAATAAAACAATAGCAAACCCACCAGCGCCGGCACCAGTTAGTTTGGAAAAGAAGCCACGTTTAAAAGCTATAGTAAATATTTGCTCCAGCTTTGGATGGGTTACCCCTATAGCTTTCAACAGGTCGTTATTAATCTGAAACAATCGCTCTAGCTTTTCGAATTTTTCACTGTCGTCCTTGGCATTGCCAAAGCTCTCGTACAATGGAATAGCCGCTGTGACCAACTCCTCGCAGGTCTTCCAAATGGCCTCAATCAGATGCGGAAACGTTTCGGCCAAGTGGCGGACTTTGGCCACTATGTCCGCAGTACTGCGGCTTACTCGACTATCCACCAGCAGGATATTTAGCGGCTTGTGTATGTGCAGTGGCTGAAAACCTTGCCCTTTGATAAATTTAAGCATGCCGCCGTAGGTACAGACAGTGTTGTCCACTCCAGAGGGTGTTCCGTGGCTTATGCGCTCCGATTCATAGGCCCATTGCGATATCAGGGCCTGATTCTCCTCGCGGATATAGCTTTCCTTGCCAAAATGGCCAGCCAAGATGAGGAAAGCAGCAGCTAATGCAGCGCCATACGAAGCGGAGCTGCCCAAGCCAGAGCCCACGTTTAGCTCGCTTTCAATTTTAACTTGGAAACCAGATTGCAGGGTCAACGTGGGATTTTTAGGTGCCGAGAGCACAGCACCCGCCAATAAATAATATATTGATACGAAGGCTTTTTGTGTACTTTGTTGCTTGGGTGTGTTACTGCCGCTGCCCTCCAGCTGCTTTGCCACCTCCGCACGCACCTCCTCCAATAGTTTGGCTGTACAATCTGGCTTATCGCCTGGATATTTACTACGGAACTTGCTCAGGAATGCATTGAACTCGGGCAGTTGTATCTCCAATGTGCAATTTAACGCCTCCAATTGAAAACTTGCTACTTGGCTCTCGGGTTGCGTGCGCAGCTGCAGCTTCGTTCCCAGTCCAACGACAGCGGCCAGGGCGGGCTTATGGTAGACGACAGCATGCTCCCCATGGAGAATCACCTTTCCCGGTGCATGTATCTGAAACTTCAGCATTGTTGACGTTTCCGCGAAGTAACACGACGCGTCACCTCTTATGTTGCTAATGTTGCGGGTACACTTTTTATCTTTTATCTGGTAATTTGAATTTCTAATGAGTTTCAGTTCGTGGATTTGAGTGGAAAATGGCGTGCTCACGTTCAAATTCTTGGAGTATTACGTGATTCGTCTTTTGTATATTTTATGCAACTTGGTTATTTGGTCGTAGTTAGTGCTCGTACATACATATACATATAATTCTTATTTTTGGTAAGCGCTGAACTCTTGATCTACTTCCCTTTCACTTTCTCTGGCTCAACTGTTTCTTGATTCGTTTGTTCGTTCAAGCTAGAGCTTATACCTGTTTTAAGCCCAACCACAAACACATGAACGAATGTATGTATGTATTTGAATGTATGTACGCGCAACAGGTATTATAATGTTGTTATTGCTCTTGCTGCACTTTCTCCCACTCTTCAGGAGTATATGTCTTTTGGGAGAACGCGTGAATTTGCTGAAGCTCCTCAGCGAGAGCTTTGTTGACCAATCTATGCTTTTGTAGTAGCGGCTTACCGCGAAATAGCTCTGAGACAACAATGACGCTGAATTTTCCTCCACAGCCGTCAGATTCGTCTACTGCGCGCACGTATTGGGCCTGCAATTGCTCTTTGAGCTTGTCTTCAAGATTTTTAACTGTATATTGACTCATATTTTGCTATTAAAATGACACCGGCAATAGGCAATGTACAATCTCAGTGTTGTAAAAGTCGAGAATACTTTTTAAGGTGCGTTTTGACAACGTTTAACCTTAAATCAAGTGTGGCCAGACAATATACACATGTACATTTACATTAGACAACAGTGACAGATGTTAGTTTTTTTTTTTTTTTTTGGTTTTAAGTTACCACGATACCCTTGGGTATTGTGGAATTATTTGGCCGCCCACTTATTGGTAAAGTGGAAATTGCCACGCGAGTTATTTCGTAGTGTTTGCTTGTCTTTAAAGTTTTACATTGATTTCTTTTATAAAGTTGAACAGTGACGTTTTAGAGTTGCAATTTGAACCCCGCTCGGAGAACATTTCAAGCACTCGAGCAGATGCTCTCCGAACGGTGTTTAAATTGCAACGGAGATCTTAGCTTTAATTTTTCTATGAAAAGAATATTCTTGCCATTAAAACAGTATTTTAATTTTAATCGTCAGCGGTAAAATTGACTAATTTATGAAATAAAAATGGTTTTTAAACGTTTATTATGTGCATTTTATAAAAAAAAACACATGTAATGTTCATTTGGCATACAACATAAACGGATCCTGAAGTGGAAACTCAAATTCTCTGGGCACATGCAACATTTCGACAGTGTGAACGTCAATTAAGCATGGTTGATTCGTGCACATAAACATCGTTTCTCAACACTTATTTATTGGTACGGTGTCTTGCGCCAAATTTCTATATACATTGTGTATTGTGAAATTACAAGTCTTTTCATATAAATTTATTAGTTAGTACATTAAGAAACAGTCCCAGCCCCCCTGGGGAGCATAACAATTATTTGAAAGTGACGGATAATTAAAACTATTAGTCATGTCCTTTTTTGGAGCCAACACATCGCTGGGCGCAACGAGCACGCCGGCTAAACGTAAGTCTAATCCATTTTTCTTTATATCAGGCTGCCTTTTGTAAGTACTTAAGGGGTTTATTACTGGAAGGCCAGGCTAATAATGTTTGGAGTTCCTTAATGTTGCGCACATGTATATCCTTTGGGCTTATGCTGAAATAAACATTTGAAATTGTTTTGATATGAAAATATGTATGTATGTACATACATACATACATATGTATATAGATTTATTCTATTCTTACTTTTTTTTGTGAATGATATACAAGAAATAAACTATAGGTGCGAGCACCAAAACTAACAGGAATGTAAGCAGTATAGGCATTGCGTTCACTAACCAAAGATTCAAACTAAACTAAAGCTATGTTTGCCCCAGACACTATAATTACAAACTGATAAGATTTTAAGGCCGGAAACGGCCGCATGAACTTCGAAAAATATATATACATATGTATTGCGCTTATCTATTTCGACAGCGGGCGGTTTGTTTGGATCATCATTTGGTGCGCCCGCGCAGAATGCAGCAGCTGCGCCTGCGTTTGGAACGCCAGCGCCAGCATTTGGCACAACACCAAGCGCCTTTGGGGCACCCACAACAACCTCTGTCGCAGCGCCAATCGGCACTGGTTTTGGTGGTTTTGGTGCAACTGCCACGCCAGGTCAAACCAGTTTGTTCGGTAATCCCGTAACTAGTACGGCCCCACCAGCCTTCAGCGGCTTCGGACAGAATACAGTTGTGAGCAGCACGCCAGCAAGTGGGTTTGCTGGCTTTGGGTCAACGACGACAACGGCGCCCACATTTGGTGGCTTTGGAGCAACCCAGTCAGCTTTTGGTACGACTCCATTTGGTTCCAGTAAGTAATTGACTGATTATTCAAAAATAAAATTGTTCATATAGTTTATCTTGCTTTATTTTTTAGCTTTTGGCAAGCCTCCAGCCACAACAGTAACTCCTGGATTTGGCGGATTCGGTAATACAAATTTCATGATGGGCCAGCAACAACAGCAGCCGGTGCCCATTTCTTCAGACGAAGCTTTTGCGCAAGCTATCTTAAATGTCTCTATTTTTGGTGATGAGCGTGACACCATTGTGGCCAAATGGAACTATTTGCAAGCCTTGTGGGGTACCGGAAAGCTCTTCTATTCGCAGAGCGCAGCACCGGTCGATATAACGCAAGAAAACTATCTTTGTCGATTTAAGGCAATCGGATATATTACGATGCCAGGCAAGGATAATAAAATGGGACTGGTTGCGCTGAATTTTGATAAAGAGCTTGCTGCCGTCAAGTAGGTGTTATTCTTCAAATATTATTTGTAGATTAACTCAAGTATTCTATAATTTCAGGCCGCAGCAGCAACAAGTTGTGCAAACTCTGCATAGTTTGTTTGGCAGCAAACCGAACCTATTAGTGCACATTGATACTTTAAAAGAGTTGGATAATAAAAAGTGTCAAATGATTATATATGTTGAGGAGAAACAAACGCATGCACCGAACGAAAGCAAGCGTATATTATCCACTGACGTGGCGAACTATTTAAATCAGGGGAACGTAAAACAACAACTTACGAATATAGGTGTTTCGGAAGTTTTGTCGCTCGTGGTGTCTGATGAGGATCAACTTAAGGATTATCTAGAGAATCCACCACCTGGCGTAGATCCTCGGCTTTGGAGTCAGGCTAAATTAGAAAATCCCGATCCCAAAAAATACATACCTGTGCCTATGATTGGCTTCAACGATCTAAAATGGCGTGTCAAGTGCCAGGAACATGAGGCCGAAACCCATGCCCTTTATATAAAAAAGGTTGAGGGTGAACTGACTGAATTGCGACAAAGATATGCTGCAGTCAATGCCAAGATACTCGAGCACAAAGGCAAGCTGGCTGAGCTAGGTCATCGGATACTACGAGTAAGTAATGGCTATTAAATACAATATAAGTTTGGCAAATATATAAATTTGCTGCTCTATTTTAGATAATGGTGAAACAGGAGTACACACGCAAGGTGGGGACATCGCTTTCACCCGAGGAGGAGATGCTGCGTACCAAATTACAGAACCTGCAGGCCATTGTTTCGGCGCCCACACAATTTAGGGGCAGGCTCAGCGAGTTGCTCTCACAGATGCGCATGAAGCGCAACCAATTTTCTGCCATTGGCAGCACCGAATATATTCTAGATAAAGAGGCCGAGAATGATATGAAGGCCTTCCTGAACATGCAACAGCGTGCCATGGAAGTTTTAAGTGAAACCATAAACAAGGACTTAAAGTCGCTGGATATAATCATGCAAGGATTACCAGAACTTCGTCGGGCATCAACAAACAGCCATTAGATTTCAAAACTTATTTATTAATGCACACAATAGCAAAAAAATAAGAGTCAATGATCACTTTTTGGCATTTGACTGTGGATTGGCGTTGTTTTACATTTCCTGTAACTTTGAACTTGCTCTTTTATAGCTGACTCGACAACAGCACGCAAATAAAGAAATAGTAACAATCGAAACGGGTTCACATTATGCGGCGGAAATTGTGTGAAAACGAAGTTGTCGCTTTTTTATCATAACTATGCGCCGGTGTCAATGTACCCTCGATGGAGCAAACGGCCGACTTTTCTGAAAACTGTTTCACTCTCTTTAGTGACAGTAAGTGCAACAGAAACTGCAACAACATACTTGTAGACAGTTTTGCAACGATTACTTGACCGTTTGACGCAATTGCGCACGCTACAATTGATTCGAACTCATTACCAGTGACAAGTTGTGCAGGTTCGTGAGATAGCTACCAGCATCCAGTTTGTTCAACTCCGGGCGTCTTGTGCTTGTCTGTTATATTAACATTATTATGCGGCCCGAACTATCACAATCGCACATATGATCGCCCGTGTGTGTGAGTTTTCAGTTTGTCTCGTTACTTATTTTTATTTTTAATTTTTTGCCTGCTGCTACAACTGAAAAACTGAAAACTCGTTTGAAATTTCCCATCTAACTACTATACTCGCTCATTGCATTGTGGAGACTTCCGAGCTTCCGTTTTCCATACCTATGTGGGGTATAAATGGGCATGTTGAGGCTTAAGCGGCTTTACTCAATCTTGTGCATTGGAGCATGCAACGCATCTGTGAACAACTAAAGTGAATCTTAATCTTTACATTATGTTCAAGTCGAATCGGTTACTAATTGTGAGTGAATCAAGGCTAAATTAATGCATTTTTTGGCAACAGACAAACTTAATTTCATGAAATGCAACTTATTAAATGTGCTTTGGAATAAGAAGAAATAAAATTGTTTCTGATGGTGACCTTTTCTGGTCTGATAGTATAGTTTCATTTGAGTGTTTAAGCCTTATCGCATTGCGTTGTTTTTAATATTCTACGAACAAATAAGGATAAATATGTGATTGTCAGAAAAGAATTGCCAAATTCAACTCATATTAGAAACTCGTATCGAGATTGTTAATTATTAGCCATCGAACGTTAAAACTTGTAATGTACTAGGATTTTATTGTAGTGCACAAAATGTTCATGTGTAACTATATTTTTTTATGGAAAATGCTTTTTATGTTTTGTTTAAAAATACGATTAAAGGCCAGTAATTGAAATGAGCGGGTTAAGATAGAGGAATAAAAGGTTAAATACAAGTAGTACTATCGTTTTCATTTGGAAAGTTTTTAAAGCCAATTACGGCTCTTCAAATAACTAGGTATTAATATTTATTGACCTTTTAGATGATTTTTCCACTAAAAGTTTTTGTAATTACTTACTCGAGGTTATAAAATTGAATAAAACACATGTTAATTCCAAAATACAATTGAGGTATTCGGTTTTAAGAGTTTTGCCTGAAGCTCGTGTTCCATTTTCTAGCTAGATGTTATTTTTTTTTAATATTTTTTTTTTATAGGCATATTTAAAATAATAGCTGTTTGCTATATATCTAACATTATTAGCTAATTATTATTCTCAACATTTATTATTCATTTATTTATTCACAAATTAATGAAAATGTTGGTAATTTTTTAGTTTTCTGCTAAGATCATCATCATTATTTCTTCCAGTTGATATGCTGCACGTTATGCACTAACGTCAGAGCCACAACAGTACGGCCTGCTGCACGCCGTGCCCAGATACAGGATGATGTTCAGCTGCTGCACCCTCATATTATCACAATTGAGCGCTTGGAGAATCTATTGAGACGTGCGGGCGAAATCTTCGCCTCTGGTCCAGAGAACGGAGCGGTGGCTCTTGTATCACAACAAGAACAAACGCAGCCCAAAGAGCATATGTTGCCACCCACAGATCAACCCTATAACTTTTACCTGCCGCTATTCGACTACGTCGATCCCAAACTCGATGCCAAAAGTCGTCATATGGAGAAAATAGTCCCGCCACCGCACCCGTCCCAGCAGGAGCAAAACTTCTATGCCGCTAAGCCAAAGAAGACTCCGAAAAAGTTCAATGCCGCCGCAAAGCACGTCAACCTGAAGTGGTTAAACACATATGAGAAGGCCATGGGTGGTGCTGCACCCAAGGCTATATACTTAGAGCAGGACGAGCGCAATCGCATCAATTTTGATGACTCCTTCTTTGCTGTTGATATGCAGGTCAAGATTCCCGACAATCAACCTCACAGGGAGCAGTTATCTAGCGGACTGTTGCAACATGGTGAAGAGTTTCCCGACGAGGATTTAATGGCCGCACCTGCGCAGATCAGTTATAATTATAAGGCTGCGCAGCGGGCCTAAGTTGTAGTATCAGATTAAGTGTTATTTAATTATAACAGGGTTCTAAATTGAAAAATATCTGCGTTCCCATAGCCGATTATATGTGGTTAGTAAATTATTTGTTTTTACTTTGAAACAACATCATAGGAATTAATATGCTTTCTTAAGTCACATCGTGAATTCTAAAAAGGTTTACAAGTATAAACCGATGCGAATTTGTTTGACAATTATATTGTTTTAATTTAGGCAAACATAATGTTTTTGATACAATTTGCTTAACGGGGATTCATAAATGATAAGCTATTATTTCTGGTGCATATTGTTCACTGAGTATAATTTAGTTAACAAATCAAACATTTTGGTAGGAGTTTAAAAAGTATTTTGAATGGGTTGGCTTTGGATAAAAAATATATTTTATTGCTTCGCCATAAAAACAAGTTAGCTTGGCTACAATACTATAATTATGATTGCAGTTAACAAGCATTTGTGACAGCTACACTAGGAAATGTTAAGTTTCAATTGCCGTATTTTGCTATTGCTTGTTGAAATGTTTGAGCTTTAACGATGCTTCGCCCATTGCTCCCAGTACTCGCGCTTCTGCATCTCATACAGGCGTGAAATTGTGCGTTCAAAGGCAAATAGTTCCTCCTCGCCGGTAAAAACGCTAGACTGTTCCGCTTGCTGAAATTACGGGATTTTGTAAACAAATAATAAGGCTGTGCCATCATCTTTTAGTAACTCACCGAATGTGTGATTTTCAAATCATCCATTAGCACTCGATCAGTATCCGACATGGGTGTGGGATCATCTGTTAAGTGGAAAAGACTATCCAGCGGTTTGTCGGCGGAAATAACGACACGTATACGATTGTCGTAGAGTGTGTCTATCAGCGTTATAAAGCGACGCAATTGCGACTTAATGTCGAGTGTCATTTGAGGTACATCGCGTATTAGGACCGTATGAAAGAATTGAGAGATTTGCAGGTAATCGCTGCCTGCTAATGGCTGTCATTGAGAATAGGACTTATATCAATAAATGCTTTAGAAATAAGGCATTCTATACTCACGCGATTGCACAGCTCGTCGAAGGTACTATCCAAGACCTGGCCGCAGGTGCGTTGAAACGTCAGATCGCGGCCGAAATGTGTGATAGTGCGAGGCCTGATTACGTCATTCTCTTCGGCACACAATATTTTGAACATTCGATTCATATCGGCGTCTGCATCGGTTTGACCTTTCACAAAATAATTTGTGTCACCTGACTGGGCGATGCGCCGATAATCGATTGAATCGAGTTTGCTAAGCTGACAGCGGCGTTGCAGAAGTGCAATGAAAGGCAGAAAATTGGTTCGCTGTAAGCCGTTCTTGTACAGATCCTCGGGATGACGATTGCTTGTGGCCACAATGACTATGCCGTGGTTGAACAGATGGGTAAATAGACGCTTTAGTATCATGGCATCGGCAATGTCCGTCACTTGGAACTCATCGAAGCAAATAAGCCAGGACTCGCGCGCAATTATATCGGCAACGGGCTTTGTAGGATCGAAGGGTGCAGGCTTCTCTGAATTGAACGCACGATCTATAGGTCCCTGGCGCTCCTTTGCCTCGTGTATACGGGAGTGAACACTTGTCATGAATGCGGTAAAATGAACACGTTGCTTTCGATCAATCTGCAAGCACATGGATTATATAAAATGGGATGGGACTTAATTGTTAAACCTTCGTCACCTCCTTGCAGCAATCGTAGAATAGATCCATGAGTGTTGTTTTTCCCACTCCCACACTGCCGTAGATATAAAGGCCCATTGGCGAATGGCTGCCTGCGTTCAAATCATCAGCTTCGTCGTCCTCGCCACTCTTACCACCAAAGAGAGATCCAAAAAAGCCCCCGCGGCCAGCAGACGTATGCTCCTTTGGTTGGTAACCCTGCAATCTTTTATGCAGTGCTGAAAGCTGCTCCATTGTCTTCTCCTGCCTCTCATCGGCCATCAATTTACCTGCCTTTACACGCTCTTGGTATTCCGCCAGTGGGCTAAGATAGCGCTGGCATTGACACGTAAGAACCGGAGGCACCTGAGCCTGTAGCAGTATTTTTGCCTTGCTTCGCTGCAAGGTGCAGCGGAGAACGAAGTCAACATGGTGACGTAACATTATATTGCTATTTAGATTTATATCTTAAAGTTTTAATGGACTAAAGTAATACTTTTTGTCAGCTTAACATGTTATATAAATATACTTCCGCTTGCCATTGACCGCGAATCTTCGTTCTGACCAAAACCAAGCACCTAAATCTACTGTCATTCACAGGTGCTAACGAACATATTACCATTCACTACGGCAACAGCTGTTCATTCAACAACCGTTAATGTGTGGGCGCGCAAAATTAAATAATGCATTATGTTTCTTATCGTTTCTAAATTTTATGGCATACATAATTTGAAAACGCGTTGACCAAATCAATTTGAAATACGGTATTTAATTTATACTTATCACTTAATATGTGAGGACTTAATGATAATCATGTATGAATGTATGTAATTTTAATTTTTAAAGATATTTTTAGTGCGGAAAAAAAGAGTCCGATTCAGAGTATACAGTAGAGAGAAAAGAATTATACAGGGCGTAATAAGTTTAGAAGATGAAGCAAAAATTTCTTGTGGTACTGAAAGATACTTATTGATTTAAGACGATCTAAAAGGTCAGAAGAATCAACATAACCGATAATCAATTTATGGAGGTGCACAACACAAAAATACCCCACGGATAGCTCACAGTCTTCCAGGGTGGTAAAAATAGATTACCAATATGAATGGTTTTGGAAAATAATTTATTATTAGTATCATATTGCATGAATTAGGTAAAAAATTGCAACGAATTTAACAGCTGTTATAATCATCGTTTGAGAATGCATTGTATTTTATTTTCCCAATCATATGCCAATGTCTTTTTCTATAGCCGTAGATTATAAATTTGGCTTATGAAATGTTATTGAAAGCTTAAGTCGAGTAAGGTGGCATTGATAGCGAGCTATGGCATTTATAACATTTCCTGTACAGTTTGCGTGATTTAATTGAGATAAGGAATGACATAGACCCAGTTATAAATAAATAAAGCTATGAAGGAATTTACAATATAATTGAGAGATCAACAGTCAATTAGAAATGTAAAAAAATGTGTGCTGTAGGTATTGGAAGTAGGTCTATATATGTATAATAAAAAGGAATATCAAAATGTCGTGTAACTTCGGTCATACTTACATTTGTTTTAAAACTGCAGCTGAACAGACGCTATCACACGACTATAGATAAGACGTTACAAGTGTTAGCCACTTGTGGGGAAGCCACTTGAAGCTTTAACAGCCTGGATTTCCACAACACAACTTTCGCACGAGTTGATTGTTCCAGCCGACATTATAAATTCGACTGCTCGTATGACGGTGGTGCATAGTTGAACTAAATTGGTACGTATTTGCGGTCAGATTATTTTTTGAACGCAAAATGGCAGGCATACCCACCTTTTACGATGAGAAGGATAATATTTGGAGTGGGGCGAAGCGCAGTTCCATTTACAATTACGACACGTCTGTAGGAAAGGTGATATTTAACACCATGAAGAACTGGCCTAAAAATGTGTGCCAGGTTTGTAGAAATCATGTAAAAGGACTTGGATGATATTACATAAACGGATATTTCCAGATAAGCGACATTGATGGCGTTCAAGTGACCAATGGACAGGGTATAACTTGGGCCATACGGATTGCTCAATTCTTTAAGAAGCGGGGCCTCAATCACAAAGATGTCATTGGTATAGCAGCTAAAAATACTACATATGTAATGCCTCTAGGAGTGGCCTGCCTAATGAATGCAACACCGTTCCATTCTGTCAATCCAGTGCTGGATGAAAGTATATCAATTATAGAAACCTTCATCGGTACAATATTTATGGCTTTATTTCGCTTCAGCTACCATTCGGCATGTCTTTCAAATAACTAAACCCATGCTAATATTCTGCGATGGCCATGAATATGAGAAAATTCATGCGGCTACATTAGCTTGGCATCCAGAAATTTACACTCTTAGTGACTCTATTGAGGGGATACCAAATATTGAACACCTTTTGGATCCCACAACGACTGAAATGTTCTATACGTAAGTTTGATACATAAAACGTATTTTAAGGATGAAATTTTCAAATTATCTACTTAGACCGGAGCCATTAAAAACTGGTGGTGACCAAACCATGGCTATTCTTTGCTCCTCTGGCACAACCGGCATGCCTAAAGCTGTTTGCATATCAAATAGCATTTTAATACAGGACAGCATGTATGTTAAATTTGCTGATCCAAAGTTATATGTTATCATGTAATTGAGTACTGTCTGCAGGCTTGTCAACAGCGAATCCGTCATATTTATATCAAGCAGCTTGGACTGGATTACTGGTCTATGGGCATTCATCTTTAGCACCGTGTTCGGATGTACTCGTATTATAACGAACAAACCTTTCTCCCCTGAATACTTTGTGCAGTTGGTGAAAAAGTACAAGATAAATTATGCCGTGGTACCTCCAAGACATCTCTCCGCCCTGATAACTTGTCCGGATGCCACGTCAGAGGCATTGGCTCCCATACGCATGCTTAACTATGGCGGTGGATTGGTGTCTATGGCTACACTGCAGCGGGCCCAGGAAATATGTAAGGGTGCCATGTTCAATTCGGGCTACGGCATGACTGAGGTGGGCGCAATAACAATTAATATTGGTTTGAGCAATACTGCCTCGGCTGGCAAGCCCATACCTGGTGTTAAGATTCGGATTGTGGACGAGGATGGCAGTAACTTGCCCCCCAACAAAGTGGGCGAGATATATGTGCATACCAACCAGGCCTGGAATGGCTATTATGGTAATTCCATTGAGACACGCCGCATGCAGGACTTTGAGGGTTGGTTCCACACTGGTGATCTGGGCTATTTCGATGATCAGAATTTTTTGTATATTGTGGATCGTAAGAAGGAAATTCTGAAGTTCCAGGGCTTGCATTACTGGCCAACGGAAATCGAAAATGTCATTACCGAGCTGCCGCAAGTGCAGGATGTTTGTGTTGTGGGCATCTACGATGAACGGCATGGTGATGCAGCCGGTGCATTGGTGGTAAAGCGGGTGGACGGAGGACCGATAAGTGCCAGCGAGATCGTGGAGCATGTGGCAAAGCGCTTGAATGGAGTGCAGAAGCAGTTGAATGCCGGCGTGCGCTTCACCGATAAGTTGCCTGCCAACGTAAATGGCAAGACGATGCGAAAAGCGGCACGGGAATTATTTGTAGCACAAACTGCAGATAGCAAATGAGTCAATGTATAGAATAAGAGGTACTTACTCTGATATCACGTGCTTAACAAAAGTGTTGCATAAGCAGGTACTCAAAGAAGGAACCATCTAATCGGAAAGAGTTGTTTATGTTGTGTAAATAAATATAAATTGTGTTTTATTTAGCCCCTGAGTGTTACTTAAGTTAATATAAATAATGTTTCAAATTCTAGCTACGACCCAGCTGTAAAAGGCAGCGAGCACAAGCATGTGGCTGATGGTGTTTTGAGAGGCATCTGCCGTCGCACTGGGAAGATCGGTTGGCAGCGTTTCCACCGTTGCATTCAGATTTGTTTCGAGATCCTCCAACTGTCTAATCGAAACATTGCCTGTCTTAACCTCGACTTTGGGCAATGGAAAGCAGTAGACACGCTCAACTTCGACCAATACGGGTGCAGCATTATCCGTCAACGATGTCTCAGTCACAGTCAGTGGCACACATATAGTTGGCTCATCAGCTGCATTCTGATCCTCATAGGGTACACCCACACGAGTGATATTCAGGGGTAGCTGTGGTACCCTTTCGGGTATGCTCAGCTCGCTGTGCATTTGGGCGGAGTTCAAGGTGTCCTCAAAGTATTTATAGTCATCGTTTTGATCCACAAGGCTTACGTCGTCTATCCTATCCATGAGTTCGGGCTTTGGGCTGGATGTGTCTAGGAAATCGGATGGCCAATTGAGAGCAATTGTGGTGGCCTCCTCTTCGTCTGTGGTGGGCAGCAAGGATGTAGAGGTTGACAAGGCTGTTGTTGCTCGTGATGGGCTGCTGATACTTGGGACTGGTCCTGTAACCTCATAGCTGTGAGGTGGATATGGTATGGGCACCCAGTTAGCATCGGTTGTAGATGAACGCATTGGTGTAGTCGTTTCAATCGATTCATTTATTTGCTTAGCCACGGCCTTTAGCTTCGGATCCGTGGAGTTCATTCTGACAACTTCAGCCGACTGTATTGGTTCCGTGTTTATGATGGTGGGCTTGGCTGTTGGAATACGTCTGCGGCCATGTTTCTCTTGTGAGTATTCAAAGCTATCGCGAGGCGCGTGGGGAGAGTAGTAACTATTGATCACAGCAGGCTGTTCCTCGCTTAATGGTTTAGCCACTAAATCATGAACGTAAGAGCGCAATTAGAGGAGTTGCAGATAGGGGCAGAAGTCATTTGATTAAGGCTTACCTTCCGGTGGCACATGGACGCCCATTAGTATGGCCTCCAAGCGACCATAGTCGCGTTCAATCGATGCGGCGCTTTCGTCGGGATGCTGCGGATGCTCCGGCTTCCAGTTGCCATAGACAACGGAGTCCTGTATTTGGCCCTCAATGGGTACAGCCGCCGTACTGCTTTGCTCACGAAGTAGCGGTATGTGCGTGTGAATCGTGGAGCTGGGAGCGGATAGCGGCGGGACATCGCCATAGAGATATGGAAATGGATGGCCCAACGGCTGATTAAAGTTGATGTTTTCTGTGTGTGGTATTTGCCGTTGCGAAATGGTCTGCATATCCGAAATGCGTACTCGACCCCGTGGCATGTGAGGTTGCGGCTGAGGTTGGGGCGACTGCGCGGCAGCCATGCTCAGCATGAGAAGAGCTGAAAATGCGAACTGCTTTGCCTGCATATTCAAATTTGACTAAAGCACACAAATGCCGTTTATTGTATTTTTTCAGCAAAAGTTTGTTAACGCGCCGCCTCGTTTCAATTTTAATTTCTTCTTTTTTCTTTAAAGAAGAAAACAAAAATACTGTGCCACTTCTGGTAACGTCTTCTGTTATTGTTGTTGTTATTATTGCCGAGTATTTCGATTTTACAGTTAGGCGGTTCGTTTTATTGTTTCATTTCGTTTTTATTTGACGGCAGCAGCGGCAGCGCAATCAATTCATTTCATAAGTATTCTTAAGCAGAGGCAATAGTCTCTCGATTCGATGCTCAGCGGCTTTAACGGCTCTTTAATATCAATTCCTCACACACATCGATATTCGCACGCACTGCTTTGTTAGACGGTTCGCTGGCTGCGCTTCTCTTCTTTTCGGTTTAACGCTTCCGCGAATCTCGTCGCAACGTTCGTTTTAATTGGAATCGGTGTGGATTCAGGCACCAAGAACAACACCAACTAGCACCTTTTGTATATTCAGTTGGTTCTGCACGCGGCGGCTTCTAAACGGCAACTGATGTTGGCCAAATCAATTGGCGACTACGGCCACTTCTACTTCGGCAGCGACTGCTGCGCTTGCGTCGCGACGCGGCACGGCGCTCGCTGAAAGTAATATTCTTATTAATATTTGTAGAAATTTTTTCTATAGACCTTGAAGCGCATCATTGTTAACTCTTTTTCTAACAATGCGGCAGAGCGCCTCGACTTAATGGCTAGTAAAATTCATTTTGGTCTGTTGGTCGTTCATGTTCATAAATATCTTCTTTAATATTTCGCTGCTCTGCTTCTATGGAGAGAATTTGATTTATTTTCGCGTGTTGTTGTTCCTGCCCTTTCTATTCTTGATATGCAAAAAAGCCGTCGCATTTTCTAAGTTACTCGTACTCGTATTTTGCAAGTTTTTCATTTGACACTCTTTGTGGTTGTTCTGGTTAAAGACTCTGGTGGCTAAGGGCTACGTTTCACCAGACGCTTTTTTCTGTGCCAAAAATGTTGAGTCGATAGAAATTTATTTATGTATGCGTTAACCAATAATTGAGCGAAGCGACTGAAGTAAACAACGGTAAAGCGATGTTGGGGTCACATTTTTCTATAAATATGTATGTATGTATGTACATACATAGGTATATATACTTGTAGTTTTTTAAAATGTGGGCAACCTTCTATTTATAGCGCAAGTGGAAAGGCATGCATTTTGTAAATATTTGCCAAAACAGGTATCAAAAATGGGAGAAGAGCGGCTGTATGGTAATGATAATACAAATAAAATACAAAATAAAGATTTAGCATAGACAAAGCCGTTAATTTTTGCAGAAATCTGCCTAACGTTGAACGCAAAAAGATTTTATATTAACAAATATGCTAAGATAATGATAATACAAAGTATATAGATGCACAGTTCGGACAAGCTGATATTTATAAAACGCTGGCAAAAGTAAAGTGATACAAATTTATGTAAATTACATACATATGTATCCCACGTTTTTGCTCCATTTCCGGTTCAGCAGCCATTTGTTCCGTAACTTTGACAGAAATATGATTAATGACTATTATTCTGAACAAAGAACTAAATTCCAAAAAATTTCTGTGTAAATAAAGAATCTGCATGGGTTATTGGTATCTTTGTGAAAATGATAATACATGTATGTTAATATATAGTATACGTTGTATATATAGTATATGCAGTTCGAATAGGTTTTCTTTAAAAAATGCTGATAAAAATGCAATGTAACAAATTATAATAATTCTCCTTTGCTTCTACTCTTTCTGGTTTAGTAGCCATTTGTCCTATATTTATATATATATGTACATATGTAAATTGAAAAACTAAAAAATATTTTAAGATCTCTTAAAAAACCCGGGCACGGGATATTTCGTCCGCTTTACCGTCACCTTTTTGTAATTCGACCAAAACAAGAGCAATACTTTAGTTCTGGAATTTGAAAAACCAACTAAATTAAGTATACGTATTTTTTTGGTTAATTAATTTCAGATTTTAAATTATATATATAAGCAGGTTGATATTTGAGTAGCGGCAAAAAATATATGCGGAGATTTCCACTAAAAAGCCAGTTGCACTGTAGTTACGCAAAATATGACTTGTAGTTGCTTGCAACGTGCCAACTTGATGCCAAAATGTGCCAAGACCCAGATTGCAAATACTCGTACATATGAACGTATAGATACATAGGTAGATATGTATGTATGTGTATACATATGTATATCGTGCATGGTAGATCACTCATAAAAATTCAAACGAAGTCAAAAAGCAGAAAGAGAGAAAAGACTATCATAATTATGCAACAAAGCTGCTGCGCTGCTTTAAGAAGAAATATCGGCGTTGCAGATTCATAGAGAAGAAATGTTGCAAAGATAATAGATAATATAGTAGAGGCACTAAAGTATAAGAAAAAATACAAATTATTTCAAATATATTATTATTGTGTGCAACAAAATGGGATCAATAAACTGACTCCAAACATGCTAATTAAGTTTAACTATAAGTATTGAGAAACAAAAACACAAAAGGAAGTTGGGCATACATACTATATGTGCTCGTATGTATAGTATGTATGTATATGTACTATATGTATAGTGCTGCGTCACGTTTTGTCAGCTTTACTTATTGAGGAAATACTTGGAAACGGCTACAAGTAATTTATTAGTAAGTTAAGTATTATAATTTTTTGCCTTTTGAGATGACTTTGTTGAAAATTATTTTCCGGTCGTTACTTTTTCTTTTTTAAAACGAAACTTTCACATTCGCCGATTTATTTTTTAAGTTCATGCACAATTATATGAGTACATATGTATGTATATATTTTTTGTTAGTATTGAGATTAAAAATTAATGAATCGAATGTAATGATATATGTATTTGCAGAAGAAATCACAGTCTCTTTGTTCGCTACGGAGGGGAAAACAATTTGGAAAAGGCCAAAATGCTCTGTGCTTTTATCAATTCTAATCGGCTTTAATGCCGCACTTTATTGATTCTCTAATAGACCAATGTATTGTCCATTTTGATTGGCCACACGACGCTCCTCTAGTTTTTTGGCAAAGACGGGATCACTTTTGGCACGCTGTTCCAGACGCTCCTGCTGCAACTTTATACCCGCATAGATCTGATCGAGACCCTTCTGTATCTCCTCGGGAATGGCGGGTGGTGTGGGTATATGGTCGCCAGTGGCCCGGAAACCGTTCTCATCGGCTGTGTACTGGACATTAACGAGGGTGCCTTCGGGCGATTGATAAGAATACTGGCCATGCTGGACGAGCACACCGTTTGGATTCGTATCGAAATCCTTGAGGAAGCCCGTCTCCTCGTGCACAATGTTGTTGCCCGTTTCGTATTCAGTCTTGTAGCTGCCATCCTCGCTCTGCTCCTTGTTGTACTTGAGTATGGGTATCCAAGTGCTGGTCTCGCGAGGATCAATGTCTCGATGGTCGGGTTTCTCATTACGCGGTATATTGTTGGGATTCGGATGGCCGTGTAGATTCTGCTGATGTTGCTGGGCACGGCAGCCCAAGGCTAGCATCATAACAAGTATCTGCGAACGACAGCAGTTGGATTGAAGGACACGCACTAACGCACAAAAATTATGCTTCTTCAACTTACAAGTATTTTCATTTTTATTATTTTTTCGCGTTCAGCGTCGATATACAAGTATATTTACAGTTAAAGAGCAAATCTCTTCTTCGATATATGTATGTACGTGTATGTATGTATATGTGTGTCTATATATTTCGCGATCCGTCGCCCGTTACGTTGCCAAGTGAAAGCAGCTTCAACTGGTACTGTGCAGCGGCAGGCCCTATTTAAGCTTTATATAGCCGCTCGACTGCGCCTCCTGTGCTCACAGCAGCCTATACCCACGCACACGCATGCATCGGGGCTCACTCACTCATACACACACACACACACACACACACACACACACACACACTCGCAAACAATTGCATTTACCACAGTCGTAGTTGTAGTTGTTGTTTTGTTTTTGCATTGGTAATTGTAATTTGTGGGCTCATCGTTGGTTGGAAGCAGCCACTCTCGCTCTCGTTTTAGGTAAGCCAGCAGTTAATTTAAGGTATGTACTAGATAAGAAAATTGGTTCTCCAGAGTAAAATGAATATTGGTAATAGCAATAATAATTATGATCACCATCATTCTAATATCATCTAGTAATCAAATTGAAGCTTAACAAATTTCCTGAAAATACCTATACAACAAGCTCAACAAACTTTTCCAAATCGCCGAGCGCAGTTTATTTCGAATTCATTCTTAGAGTACACCAACCACGTTTGAAGCCAATCAGTAAATAAATGTTGTTCGAGTCCATTTTTCACCATTCGGAGTTTCAAAACTCCTTTTAAGAGGTCACACTGGGAAAAGTAACAGGTAGTGCTTCGAGAGTTTATTTTGCTGTAATTTACAAACTTGTAGAAAAATACTATTCCTATTTTTTTAAACGCAATATTATAAAAAGTTCATGTTAATTGAGGCTTTCAGAAAGTGAAAATATGGCATACAAGTTTAGCAAAAACTTCGATATGGTAAGAATTTGAGTGCAATTGCATTTAAAATTTACTCTAGTCCGCACCTTAATTTTCAAATAGAAATATTGTTTTTGTTGGCCTACGTAAATGTCTGCGGCATGGCTGTCCGGCCGTTCATCTTCGTAATGCCGTTATTTAGAAACAAGCCAGAACGGGTTTTTTTTCTGTAAAAATTCGCAGTCGCGATGTCGTCGTGACCAAATACAGTGAATTACTCAGTAAATGCAACACGCATCTGGCTGCGACCAACAGCAGCAGCTCTGTGCTCTTTGGAGGCGCCACAACATAGCTACTCGTATGTATAGTTGGCCACAATTGAACCTCAACTCTCTTTGTATTGCACGCTTTCGCTCTTTAGAGTGTTGATTTGAATTCGAGATGCTGCTCCCTCCAGCTTCGACTCAGATTCTTGCAATTGCAGCATTTTTGGATGCCGAAGACGGCGGTGACATACAAAATGAAGCTAAGCAGCCTATGTACATGGATTTGAATGTCTTGGCAGTTGAAATGAAAATTGTTGTAATAAACGTTGGGTTTTTTCTAGCCATGATTTGGCAAGACGATAATTGAGTTCAATACGGCAATGGGTCTTGGTAAATGTTAATTAGATGTTGAAAATGGGACACTTTGTGAAAACTCCAACAAACACATCTCAACACCACAACACACTTAATTATTATTTATTTATCATAGATTTTAAATTAAGAGTACGGCTAATTCAAATGCCTATAAATGCACTACTTTTTGCTGCACTTAAGCTGGTAAGCTAACTCCGATTCTTACTGTTTGCGTCATAGTTGACTTTTGACATTTGAGTTGCAAAGCTTCATGAAGATAATAAATTTTGCTGTAAGCCTCTGAAGCGTTTTTGTAAAACGACAAATAGTTCTGTTCAGATTCCACATTGTCAGAAGATTGGTTTTCAGTTAATGCCACCTGCACGCATTTGTAGAAAATGTAAAAAAGGGCAAGCAAGTCCGAAAGAGAAGATGAACTTCGCAATGTAATAAGAGTATAGGTTTTTCTACGCTGTACATTAAGGGTAAAAGGGTATATTAGGTTTCTTTCCGACCCATCAGGCGAATCGATATAGCCATGTCCGTTGCTCGAGCATTCTTAGCATTCTCTCTTGTTTATTTATATGATTTATTAAAGAAAATATGTAACATATACTCGTAGTAATTTCTTTATGATAATAAATGGGAAAATGGAAATGATCAATTAAGATATATAAGCGCAAACCAATTTATGGTTCCTCATTTTGTTAGGGGGTCGTGAGTGTTATAAGAATTGTTGCTGCTTTGCCGGAAAAATACTTCAAGACGAGCCCAAGATACAAACACTTGTTTCAACCAAGATGACGATGGTTGCAACATCATCGTGCTAGGCACTTGGCCGTGTAGTTAACAAAACCGCCAACTGGTTCGACGACAAATGCTTCATTCACACCCATAACATGCACCATCCCGCCCTCCACTTGCTGCTGCAGTTGTTGTTGTTGCTGTTGTTATTATTATGGGCAGTGGCCCGTGAGTCATTTTGAGGCAGAGAAGATTTTGTTTTGGTAACAGTGGCAGTTGTGCAATAAAGTCCAACTACGTTGCAAAGAAAATTGAAGCTAACAAGGTTGTTTTAGAGTTCAATCAGCTATAAATCAAACACTGACCCATATGTTGCTCCAAAATTATTAATATTTTTAAGCTGACTTGGAAGTTTTCCATTGGACTAAGCGCGATATCTGTGTAAGTTATATGATCACCGCAGAATAATTTAACAGTAAAGCCGATTTTTGTATGTGGATGAAATCAAGATTGACTTTTTCATTTCAACTTCTTGACAAACGGGTGACATTTGACATTTTAGTAGAAGAATTGTGGGCTTTGCTCGCGAATGTGGATGCCAATATGTGGACTAGTTTTTACATAAGCGCAATGTAAACACAATGTTCTACATAAATACTCTTTATTGAAAATCGAAACAGACGATCAAATTTATGAGATTAGTAAACTTCAGTTGGAACATAAATAAGTAAGCTTCATAATTCGTCACAAATATATAAATGTCTTAAGCACGTACATACAAACTATGTAATTCGCATATTCTCAATCTAATCGTCCTTCGAGTGTGGTATTGCTAATATAAGTGTTAGGTGGTACATAGACATACAAATTGATATAAAAATAATTTTTTGGGAAATATGGTGGTAAATTTTCCAGAGCACTGATATTGCGATAGTAAATGTAGCCCTGAGGGATAATAATACATATCATAAGAAGAAAATTCGTAAGATGCTAATCAAATACTTACGCTAATAGGGCACTTTTTAGGGACATTGCTGTTCCTCCGCATACTTGAGAATACTGCATGAGCAAATACTTGGTTAGGTCCTTCCAGCATATACTTACAGCAATCAAACTCCATGTCAACCATCTTGCGATGTTTCTTGTTGTAAAGTGAAAACCTCATAAACGGTCTGACTATTTCTTTTACATAGTACATTTCGACGGAAATTTGATCATTCTTTGGCTTATGAATGATACAAGTGAAGTTTTGGACAAATTCTGGATTCCCTTCACAGTTAATGCTCTCCCAACACAAACTTAAACGAGTGATCTAGAAAATCATGTAAAACTTTACAAAACGTATGTGATATAAATGATTAAAGCATACCTGTGCATTACAGATCGTTTGTATAAGCAAACAAATTAATGCAAATGTTAGACTATCCATATTATGCTTTCCAACTGACAACAGCACTGACGAGAGATTTACTATTGGTAAGTTTTTTTTGTTCCCAATTTAGGCTTGTACTTAGAGACTCGTGTAGGAAAATAGTGCAATTAACAAATTTTATACTTTTTAAATTGCTATTCTAAATACGCGTTTACCTATTGATTTACCAGATGGGTAAAATGGGCTAATTACTTTTGTACAAGGTATATACTTAATCAGCATGACGACAAAAATCGATCTATACATTTCTACCCTTGTCTGTCCGGATGGATGTAACGGTTGACCAATCACGGTATGTAGACTTTCCAAGTTGCTAGGTAATAGGAATTTATTTTATTTTTTTTGATGTTCTTCCCTTCTTCTCCACAACAGAATTTCAAAGGTATGTAAACATTACTTTGCAAACGTATATAATATCAAAATCTTTACGTCTGTTAATTACAATTACGTTACAATTAAACAGCGTTATAATTTAACACCTTAAAAGTGTTAAAATTGCATTGAAATCCGAAAGGCATTTTTGATGTTTTTATGTTAATTTAAAAAGTGGCTTTTGAAGATATACATGTACATACGTACATAAGTACAATATGTGTATGTATATGTATGTGTTCAACAGAATGCATAACAGACTTACTAAGTTTTTAATTTAACAATAGTTAGTTAATTCAAACGGCCTGCTAGTGTGATATTTGAAATAAACGTTTTCGGTTCCATATACGTATACAAATTGAGTGTAAAACGTCCTTTCGGCATATAATCAGGAATATTTTCAACACCACTTATATTGTGATAATAAACATGACCCTGGAATAAGGAAATCTGGAATTTCAATAATTCTGTAAATGTTGAATACTAACCTTAATTGGACACTTTTTTCGGTTGCTGTTCTTCAAAATACTGGTGAACATTAAATTTTCAAATACTTTGCTAACACGATTCGCCAAAGGCTTACAACAATCAAAATCCATGCTCATTATCTTGCGATGTTTTCTATTATAAAGAGTGAACTTCACAAAATGGTGGTTTATTTCTTTGGCATAGTAGAGATCGACACTGATTTGATCGCGGTGTGGTTGATGAAGAATACAAATTAAATCCTGAAGAAATTCTGGATTCCTTGTGCAGTTCATGCTTTCCCACCACAAAGAATAACGGGCTGCCTAAAATGATTTAAAAGGTTGCCGTTTTTAAATATATATATGGCGTATGGAAACTTTTTGAACGTACCTTAGTACTCCGGCAGCATAGTATTAGTAAAAAAATGACAGCAAGTTTTTTGGTTTCCATAGTTAAATGACTGGCTGGAAACTTGCAATACTCGAAAATTGGACAGTTGTAGATGTTATATGGTTGGCCAAACAAGTTGAATAGCTCAACAAAATATGGGTCTAAAAACAGGCCAATTATGAATTTTTGT